AAAATGAAAGCCCAAGCAGCAGTGACAAGAAAATGCAGTTCCTGAGGGGTCCACTTGAGGCTGGCTCCAAAAACCCCAAATTAACACGGTGACAGCCTGATTCAAGAACAGTTTGGAGATGTGGCTCATTTATTCATCCTTACATACTCACAGGGATGATCATTTAAATACACCTGTCAAAATAGAAGCTTAAGCCGGTGTACACTGTGTGATTTGAAGCTGGTTGCATCATCTGACCCGAATTTTGAGTTGCACAACTGCTTCACAAGAGAGGTCAACTTTAAACCTGAATGTAAATCAGTTATCTTGCCGTTCACAGCCCAATCATCTGCTCCCTACTGGTTGGATGAAATTCTGGCATGACTGCACACTGTTGCACAGTGAGAGCACCATGCCGTTACTCTTTGTGACCCTGACAACTGTAGTATACTTGAATAAGCATAGCATGGCAATAACACCAGAGATGCAGTTTGGTCTAGAAGTTCAAGGTTTCACAAAAATAAAGAAAGTTTGGCGCGTACAACAGAGTCAGACTAGAGCCATGTATACGTCTCTCACCTTAAAACGAATAAATTCAGCTGTTATCGTTTCTTTGGAGATTAGCCTTGTGGGCTTGGTGAAAGACCTGCCGGTAGTATCTGTGCTTGTGTTTAAGCACAATAGACTTACAATACGAGGTTGATGTCAACGTTGGATTGTTGCAGAATCAACACCGCCATCCGCTGCTTAAACCATGTGACTTCTTTTATGCGAAGAGACACTGTATTCACCCACATAGCACATTGGGCAAAGCCTCTTAAATTATTTAAACTCAAGACACGCTGACAGCGTTGGACAGGATGTAACTGTGAAAGTTTTGCTCTAAACTTAAAGTCTGTGTCTGTATAAACCTAATGCATGTGCAGCCAGCCTGAGAACATGATGTCAGTCTCACAGCTGGAGTTTCTATTAGTCAGAAAGGTGGTTACTGTTAAAGTCTTGTTCTTAGGCATTATTTGGAGTTTTCAAAGGAAACACTGACACACGTCAAAGCTGTATCCAGTACAAAGTAAGCACTCAGGTCCTGTCAGGTAGTCGGACAGTTATGTGTGAGCACGTGTACAGTCTGAGTTTGTCTTCCAACCTATAAACTTGCATCAGTAGGAGTGTGGTTGATTTGACTGGCAAGATTGTAGGTGTTTGCAAGAAGCCCACTGAAGTTACACTACATCACATATTTCTAGATCATCCTCAGGCCCGCATTCAGAGAATTTCCCCTTGTGGGACTTATAAAGGAGTATCTTACCTTTCTTATCTCTTACCATCAAAACATAAACTCTGCTGTTGCTAAATTCATTGATTATAAGCTTTAAACACAAACAATGTTTATTAAGCTTCTGTACACTGTTGCTATAATTCATGTACTGTATGTGTATAATTTATCTTCTCTTTTAGCTGTCCCAAGTGAGAAATGCACCAGTCTCTATTAACCTTGACTTTAGTCTGCAACTGTGACTCCAACCTTTTTTTTTCTGCTTAAATATTGATTATGAAGTTTTTAGCCAAAATCGCGTGAATGATGAAAACTAATATCATGATTAGCTTTCTTACGAGCATTGCAATCCTCTAACACACACGCTTCCACAAATGTCCTCTCTATTTGTCTGAGTCTGGCTGCATAGCGGGGCTCTGGGGGCGGAGCTTGGATTTGTGATGTAGGAAATCTCACTGCTTCTGAACCTGCCATTTAGGTCTGCCAGAGATTCACAGCGATTTGAATGAAGAAATACTCAGAAATGCAATTTCACACATATTTTTTCATCGCATGTGCTGTAGCATAAGAAAATGATAAACAATATGTTCCCTTTACTGAGAAGTTGCAAAAAGAAGCTGTGTATAAACTGCTATCTCGAACCTGACATTGTTTCTCACAGAAGAAGAGACTCACTGGACCTCTAATATCTCTAATAGTTTCAGAGTTCAGACTGACAGCCCTGTGTTCCCAATCCTTTCCAATCCATTTCTGTAACCTCTGAGGCCTCTTCACCACTGCTGGGTGAAGCTGTTTCCATCAGACTCCCCCTGGAGATGAAAGCAGCTTGTTGCTCTTTTCATACCTGTGATTACACCCTGATTTGACGTCAGATACAAGAACAGATCTGAGGGCAGCAGGGCAGCAGTGGAAGGTCTCTGTCAGCCTGCAGAAAATAATGGCTTTTATTAGCTGCCTTGACCTCCACATCTCTAATGCAGCACTACTGTCAGAGTGGCCTGTAGACCCTGCACACAAAGATGGAAAAATCTCTTGCCAACGTCTGGTACAATGATAGAAATTTGTCGGTGCAGACACAAATAGAAAGAGGAGGCTGATTATAGGGAACAGGTCTGGAACACCATCATGTTCTTACCTCTGAGGAATTATCATAGTTGAAGCCACATCAGCGAGCCATGTTGGAGATTTTCAGAGTGAGTAAGAGGAAGTTGATCAGAAAAGCTCTCTCTGCAGTCCCCCTCTGAGGTCACCACACAGGCGTAATTACACACAGCCGCTCTCTGGCTGGTGTGTAAATACTGCCATCTATTGTTGCAAGGAGAGTCTTCCTGCTGCAACAGCTCCACTCCTCACCTCCAGCCTGTTTCTGTCACTGTCAGGCCCACACAGATCAGCGTGAAGAGTGCTCTCCAAACTGCAGCAACAACACTTAAGAGTTCAGTTTACAAAACTCACTCTCTTCTCATTAACTACTGCAATTACACGACACTTTCATAAAGACACCTGCTTCTTTACGTCTGTGTAAACATTCTTCGAGCTTTTGGCCTTTTTTTCCGCTGAATTTCAGACTATTGAAGAAAGAGCAAGTGAGTGTAAAACTTATTAAAATAGGCTTGAAAGGAAATGCAGGGTATGGAGAACTTGACCTTTTCTCTGAGACTCTGTAATAAAAGATTCTGTACTGGTTTGATTGGTTTCAGAGTTGAAACCACATAGAAAAGAAAGTACCTCCGACACATTTTATGTTATTAATTTTTTGATCAATTTATTCACTTTTTTACCCTATTTTTTTCTTCTCTCCTCTTTTCTGTTATAAGTTCAGCGAGTTTTCTCCAGGTTTGTATGTAGTGCTGTGTAAATGTCACGCATGACACAACCATTTAAAGCCCCCTTGTCCCGGAGATGAGAGCCTGAGATTGAAAAGGACTGGAGGTAAACCCTGTGGTCTGTTTCAGCCTACTGACCTACTTGATAGGTGCATGTTTATGCACCTGTCAAGATGTTGATTCAACTCCAAGATGTTGATTTTTTTTACTCCAAATGCCCTTCAGAATATTGTTGGAAATTAAAGTCAGTGTAAAATTGAGTATAATTACGAAAATCCATAAGGCTTTTATTCTGCGAAAGGTTAAATACTAACTTTTGAGTTCACTGAGAAAAATGACTAAAGGTCCTTACACACCAGGCGCGAATTCGCCAGGCGAATTATTAGCCTTTTTTTAAAACAGCATAAAGTCAATGCAAACTTCCACACTGGCAGCGATTTTTACGCGAGGCGAAAAGCGTCTTTTATTTTTTCGCTCTTGTGTCAAATACTTCGGAGATTCGCAGGCGAATATCTGGACCTGCTAGACCTCTGGCCAATCAAAAGTCATGTTGTTGATGACGTCACAGACCCATGTGGCTGCAGTTCACACGACACACACCGCCACTGACACCAAGAGCAACGATGGGAGAGAGTGTGTACCACAGAGTGGTCGCCCGGTGTGTATGGGCGAAAGTGATTTTTCGGACCAGTGAATATTTTCGCATTTTCGTCTCGCTTTTTCGTTTCGCTCCGCAAATTCGCTGGTGTGTAAGGACCTTCTGGGTGTGGCAGCAAGAATAAAACAGTTGATTCCACATATCTGTATCCACAGTGTTTGATTTTGTCGATTTGGTTTGTGGTTATCCTTAAATAGATATTCCGGCATAAAATGAAGTTAGGGTCAAACACACCATAACACCGAGTTAGACACTCCCTTGAGAGATGAGTGTTACCGATCGCTTGCTTCTCTAGTTACACCAACTTTAGTAACGACCACACAAGAGCAATACACAGCAGTCTATCACTCCATGCACACACCTCAACCAAAACTCCACTCTATAGCCACAAATAATGCTCAGAACAGCACCTAACTTCATCAACAGTACATATAGGGTCCCAGCCATAGTACTAGCCATCAAACATCTTTTTAGCTTTGCCTGATTTCTTTAGCAAAGAGACTTAACAACTCACCCACTCTCCTCCAGCAGCCGCTTGTTTGTGGGGGAGCCCTGACGAGTCGATCACCGAGTGCAACTAACTTAATTTTATGCCGGAATATCCCTTTAAAGACCAAAACACCAACAAAAGCTGATTCATTGGAGTTTTTATGATTATGAAGGCTAGTATTATTCAATTCAGTCAATTTGCAAAGAACCAGACTAAATTCCTTGTGCTAGTTTTTCACTTTAACACTATTTTTAGATGATGGACACATGAATATGCTAAGTTTTTACCTATCACAGCAAAACCGATAAATGCTTAAAAGTTTCTCTGGCCATATGTTCAAAAAGATGTTTACGTTCAAAGGTTCTCACTCAGGTATGGAAAAAAAAGTAAATTTTTCCTCTCCAACTTTCTGACTGAAATAAAGGTAAACACTGTAGCAGCTGTATCAAACACTTTCCGTTAGCGCTGGTTTAGCTTAGTTAGCAGAGCGGTTGTCCTGAGCACACAGGCTACAGTCCTTATTGCACTGGTCATGTGATTGGTCTCAAAATGATGCGGTACACGTCATCCCCCTCTTCCACTCAAGCTGTAAATAAAGGCAAAAAGCAAAAGAAAAATATCCAAAAATAGTCAAACACTAATGACTTTTGATTGTATTCTCAGTGAATCAAAACAATGTGATCTGAATCTTTCAAACTTTCTGTGGATTTTATTGGAGCTGTGCGGAAACAGCTGGTGTGCTTCTCTAAATTCGTCTTCATTCATCTCCAAATAACTTTTCTGAGTGACTGTCTCTCCAAAGTGCACTGTACTACAGCTGAGGAGCTTATCTCCTATTCTAACTAATAATAATAAACAACATTCATAAGCTGTTACATAGACTTCTCAGTTGTTGTTCTAACACGTCAAAACCCAGATATTTATAATCAGATTAATATTCGCTGCTCTTTTCCCAAATAAACTTGTTTTTGACGCTTTCAATGTGCAGTCTGTTCTCTCTACTCTCTTGAGCAGCTGATTGTCAGTTAATAAAACTAAAACACTGTTGATGCTCTGGGTGTGAAACCTAAGCTTTATTATGCAAAAGCTGGTTTTGTGCATAGGTCTCTTCTTCATGATTGGAGTGTGAAACAGTCTCTACAAAACAGGCCTCCTTAGCTAAGAGTGGTCAGGACCTGTACAGTTCCTACATGTTTCAAATAATGTTAGGTTATGCTGGTTTGGCACTATTGTGGTTTGGAAAATGGAGATAAGACTGTATGTAGGTGGCGTTTGGTTACTTTTAGAATGCAGCAGAAGCTCAGTTTAACCTGAAAGGATTGAAAGGTGGTGGTGCTAGCTCTGCTAGTGTTAGCCACCCCTTGCATTCCTATTTTATAGTTCACAACTACAGACTCTGTGGTCCTGTTTTAAATAGTGTTAAATTTGTTGTCCTGAATTTGGACTTTTTTCAAGTGTTAACTTCCCTCTGTACTGGTCAGCTGACTTTTCATTCAAACTTTTAACATGGAAACTTGAAAATGAGTCACTTTAGGACTTCATAAATTTCAACATAGCATATTTCCCTTTGTTTGTACTTTAAATTGTTGGTTTTGACCTTTATATATTCTTTAAATTAAAGAATTCAGATGAATATGATGCCACTATGTTGTTACTTTTTACTCTTCAAGAGAATACTATATACCAGTGGTTCTTAACCCTGTTTGAGGTACCGAACCCACCAGTTTCATATGCACATTCACCGAACAAATCAGTGTGACTTCTGCTGTTGTTTTTGAGAGACCAGTTCAGATATGCGTGACTTTGCAGAGTCAACTGCAGAATTAACGGCGTTCTGAATGAATGGGGCTTTGAAAAGTCCCGCAGCATGTGTTAGACGTCACCACTACACATGGACCAATCAGGGGCTGCCTTTCCCTGTTGTCCGGGTAACAGTGGAAACACGGTCTCTGATTGGCCCGGTTATTTTCTGATCGGGAATACACGCTCTCTATGGGCCGAAGTCCAGACTGTGGTGGGAAGGAACATCAAGTGATTCACGAAACAGGATGGCCCAGCCAGGCTACCGTGGCGGAGGCTCCACCGAACCCCTGAGACCGACTCACCGAACCCCTAGGGTTCGATAGAACCCCGGTTAAGAACCACTGCTATATACAAAAAGACACATCTTTTGGATACTTTAACCAGCAGTCATCCATGATATGTGAACACAGTCCAGGGCAAATGCAAGACCACACTGTAAAAGTTTAATAGAAATCTGTTTATAGATATCTATAAATGTTTGAAAACATTCGATCTGAGAGCTCTCCTAACTGTCGACCAACTGAGAATAATGTATGTGGAAAAACTTTTTATTTATACATTGAAACACATGTATTGAATGAGAGAACATTTGATGAAACATGACATTATAGAGGCCACAGGGCATGTTCTCGGGCCTCATAAATATTGTACTTGGAATCAGTGTCTCTGTTCTGTGGACGTCACAGACCGATGATGAAGGGTTCCACCTTCATCAGGTATGCTGGTTTTAGGTAGCGCTGCAGTTCATTTTTCTTCACCCAGAGCAAAGAAGCGTTTGGATCAGCAGGGGGACTGTCGTCTGACAGAATAGCTTTGAAGAAGAACACCTTCGTTCCCACTGTGCTCTCCGTCCGTGCAGCTTTGGGCAGTTTGTACTTGTAGACTCCACAGGGGGCGTTTCCCAGAAAAGTTGCCTTGAAAGCAGCTGCTGCTGCCGGAGAAGAACAAACTGTCAGCTAATTCAGCGGGAGACAAAAGGTGGGCTGAAATGCAGATGTTCCTGAAGTTCATGCACTTGTATAATTAAGTCTGTATTAGCCTAATGCTCTGTTTTTCATTCTCTGCAGTGACAAAAGTAATTCAGTTTTAATTCGATCTCATGTTGTTTAAATCACAGGCTCCCAGTGGGCTCAACATGCAGAAAACCGACCATGTTGGATGTTCAATTCCCTTAGACTCAGTGGTCTGCTACTCTACACAATGAATAAACCCCCTCCTCCAAACGGCACATGTTAATGTCAAGTGGAAAGTCTTAATGGGGAGTGATTGATGAAGCTGGAACATTAATAGTTCATGAGCAGTGTTGTGAAACTGCTCAACATACTCAGCGTTTTATTTGAATGCTTAAGAGCTGAAAAGCTTGATTTCTTGCAGACATGAAGGGAGGAAAAAAAAAAGACAGTTTAACGGCTCATGTTAAATATCTTGTGTGAGGGATCATTACAGGGTCGCTGCAACATTTGTCCCATGTTTTACCAGCTGTGACTCCAAACTTCCCTGCTGTCATTAGTCCACTGATCCATGAACTGAAGCCGAGTCTACAGCTGACATCAGGGAGGCCTAAGTGGATATGACAACTTGAACCATCCGCCGAATACTGATGGTGAAAAGCTGCATATATGAAGGATAGCTGTGTGGATGTTTGACCCTCTTGTTGTGGTTAATAGATGTTTGTGCAGGAAGTGCCGCACAGCTCTCCCAGATAAGAGCACATTAAACTTAAATGATGCTGAAGATAAAACTGGGTCATTACAGCTAAAGAGATGAGGATATACTACACTAATAATGCAGCATATGGGGCGTGCTACAATAAGACAACCAATAACAGTATATTCTGCCGTAAGCCATGCTTTTGAGGTTAATTGAAATACATTAAAACAAAATTCAACATGACCTCCTCACTCTTCCACATCCTCTTCTTGCTTTTCGCCACTTTTTATTCACAGTTAATATTCTCCTAAAAAGATGTTGCAATTGACCGGAAACTGAAGGTGAAGCAGTAAAGTACTGTAATAAAGTTGAACATAAACCTATACATCATAAAGATTTAGACCTTTACCAGTAAAAGCAAATGTGATTTTAAAAACCTTTAATAAAACATGCTCCTTCAGAGGTAAAGCCTGGAGATAATGTTTGATCATCCCTCTGCACAGGGATGGATATCACATCTTCTGCAGCTCTGACTGTCCAAAAGTGATGCCAAGTAAAGGGTGACATCTTGTGCATTTGGAGGCTCCTTCTGTTAACCAAAGCGTACATCTTTAAAAGTAAAGACCTCCTGAGTTTGTACAGCCTACAATAGTGGTGTCCATTTAGACCACGTGACTGATGTAAAATGTATCATCGGGGTTTACAGTTAATGTACCGCCACTAATATCCCCCACAGAGTCCCAGTGAAAGATGTTAGTTTGTAAGTAATATAAGTCAGTGCTGTGGATATGAGCCTGGAACATACTTTCTGAAAAGTGTTCAGTGGGCTTAATCACAGAAACGGCTCATTAAGTATTGATATTTCATTAGGTGCGTTTACGTCAAGCTGCTCATGGTTTTCTCTGTTTCATTTCAGCGTGCTTATGTTTTGTATGCAGTTATCAGCTGGTACAAATACCATTATTGGTTCAAAGAGATCAAACTCTTTACCAGTTTCCTCAATTCCTGTCAGTTTTCTGTTCTGAATAAGAAGGCTGATACAAGTTTTCTGTGATAGGGTTTTATACCTTATAGTGTGGCTTCTGACCAGACTTCAACCTTATGTCTACATGTTGTTACAAACATGTTGTTGGGGTTGATTTTCTCTGCCATGTATACAGCTCAATCACACCGGCCCTTGGGTTCTGCACATGCTCCAGATGTAAACTGACATGGATGTGCCGCCAGTAAGCGGAGTAGTAAACAAACCTCGACAGATGAAGAAAGGACGTAAAAAGGACCAAACCGACGTACAGTACGATGTAAAGGTACAGAGCTGTAAAAGTGACTGTGTTTCTATTGCTCAACAATAAAAACACAGTCTAGCCTCTTGCTAACACCTTTTTGGATTTGCAATAGGTCCACGGGGACAGCATGTCCACCTTAGCAGAGCCGGACATGTTTCTGTCAACAATCTGATTCTTGCCTGGTGCTTGTAAACCGGCATTAGAACAGTAGACCAGTTGAAAAGTCGACCTGAGCTGTGACCCTAGCTCAACCCAACCATGCATGTAAATGCACTGACAGATGCAGCTAGGGCTGGGCGATAAACCGAAAATTTACCGATACCGAAATTTACAACAATATCTGACGGAATTTTGCCCATATTGGTACATTTGCTGTCAAAAAAATAAATAAATAAAAGTTGTTTGCGGATGTGTGTAGGTAGGCTATGATCTCATGTCCCTTTAAGACACTGTCCTACATCAGAGATGTGACTCCACCCCATCCAGTCCATAACAAAACGGGAAAGACAGGTGAGGAGATAGGGGACGGGTCAAAAGATGAAGTGGCTGGTGCGGCGGCTAAAGTAGATGAAGTTTAAGTGGGAGCAGCTTGTGGAGTAGTTATCGTCCATTAATCGTTATCGAGGTGAACTACTCAATATATCGTGATATTGATTTGAGGCCATATCACCCAGCCCTAGATACAGCCTCCAAATGGCCCACAGGCCAGAGCAAAGGAGGCAGCCTACCATTTGCACACTGAGCTAAAAATTAAGTCACATTGTTTTTCTTAAGTTAAAGCAGGTCATCATTCACTTTGTTAAAGAGGGATCTCATCAGGACAGCCTCTGAAGGCACCTTGGTCTTCTTGATGGGACAGGGAAGCCTCCCATGCACAAACACAAGGAGCTGCCGCTCTCAGGAAAGGAGTGGATTTTACACTCAGGTGGGTGATGGCTTAGCCGTTTTGCTTTTAGTGTTGGTATGGTTAGCACAACAACATTATGTCTTTGATGGGAGCATTTGTGAGCCACTCTTGTCTCTGTCGGATCAGTTCCTTGTTTTGGCTTTTGCTGACTGCCTCATCATTCTTTAGCAAGGCTAGCAAAACTAAGTGGAAGCAAGGATGGAGTAACCATTAAGCATAAAGGCTAATGATGGCTTGTACTAGTTTAAACCAGCTCTCATCTGGATATCAGCCAATAGGTCATATTTGAGAATCACTCACCTCTTAAATGGCAACTGTAAGAGTACAATAAAGCTCTACTAGACGGATGTAAAGAAGTGCAGATAATAGATGTTGTTTATTGTTTATTGCAGGTTGTGACCCTCTGTGTTCGATAACTAGTGCTGTTTTCTAAGTGCTTTTATTTTTTGGACCAGTGGATGGTCAGAATTTACATTTGCAGTCATATAACTCAAATGAGTTGCTTCTAAACATCCCTGACTCTGACGATGAGGTAAAACAAACTTTCTCTATTACAACAGTTGTAATAAAAAGTTGCATTAAAATAAGAGCAACTTCAAGGAAAAGGACAAGCTAGTCCCAGGCAAACACTCCACTTAGGGATTTAAAATTGCAGATTTTACTTGCATAGCTACAATTTACAGGGATAAAAGCAGGAATTATCGGTAAAATAAATAAACATTGCAAGCTCACTCTTGTCTGCCAGAGTACACGGGTAAAAGCAGATTTTATTGATTACTCTTGAGGCTTTTTTGGAGTTTTCTCTGTTCTTGCTGACCTTTAGCACATCACCGCACAAAGCACTCTCTCCATCTGGGAGCTTTTCTTGATTTTACCTGAGTTATTGTTTGTGTTTTTACAAATTAAATTTTATTCTATTAAAGATTTCTTTCTTTTCTCTTTTGTGCCCAAAGTGTACTGATGTCTGATTGCTTCTAAAAACCTGGCGGTTTTATGGTGTTTGTCTTATTTTGCTGCCTTTGTGAAGCCCTTCATAACTTACATTTTAAAAGCAGCCATTAAATAAATGCTTATTAATATCAGGAGTCTCATTAAATAAGCGTCTAGGAAGTGTATTTTTTTTATTACCTGGCAGCGAAGCGAGGGCTCTCTCAGCTGTCTGCCGCAAAGTTTCTCCTCCCTGCCACTGAGTCTGAGGCAGCAGCCACATCTTCTCACCTCCGACCTCCTGCTCAGCCAGAAGGAGCAGAGAGCTGTCCAGGCAGCGCTCCAACGAGGTCAGGTCCTTATCTACATCGTCTGAATGAGAGGAAGGATCGTCAGCCGCTTTTAAGTCTGCTCTGTGGAGTAAAATCTGCACTAACTCTGGAAATGTCACCGGGAATAAAATGCAAATTGGAAATGCCAGAGAAAATAGATTTCCTAAATGTCAAAATAATATTAGAATTCTGTCCTAACACAGGCCTCTTTCCTCCAATTTACTTTAAACTCAGGTGGATTAATCTCGTTTTCTTTTCTCCGTGTTTCACTTGATGAATGACTCCAGCAAGAAGAAGGGACGACTACTGTAATCTATGAGGAAAATGTATTTCATCTAAGTGTATTTTCATGTGGCATACATTCTGCTTTACCCCTCTCTCCTGCTGGCCAAACATTTTGCCCACTTCTCAAACTGACCTCTGAACCTCTCTGCCGGCTGGAACGTCTTCATCCTCTGCTCCCAGGAGTCCTCCAGGTCCTGAGTCAACACGATTTCCTGATCTTTGCGGACGTCCTCCTCATCTGAGTCGTAGTCTTCTGCCTGCTTTCGAGTCATTCTCTCAGTGTCATCCAGTAGACGCAGCTCGTGGTCCGACAGTATACTTTTCTCAAACTCTACCTGAAAGGAGAGACGGCAGGATTCATTATGAAAAAGTGCAACAGGATGTGTACGAATTCAAGTAAAGCAAACTGAGTTTTAATTGGTATTACACATAGATACCACGCTTTGAATAAATGAGACACAGCTGGGTAACTTTTAATGAATTTGGCAGGAAAATATTACCTCCATATACCTTTTTGTAGCTTTAACATTCTGCTGCCAAGGTGTCTATTATTATTTCAAGACTGTAGTGTTTGTTTATCAGGATACGACTGTAATTAAGGCAGTCAAATATTATGGCATTACTTTCCAGCCTTGATTTAGGACCCACACAAAACACAAACTCAATGTTTGGCCTGAAATGTAGTTTTTTTCATAGTCGTCTGAGTCCAAACGCTAAGTGGATTTACACAGCAGATATCCAGAAGTGCTGTATTGATTTCTATGCATAATCTTACAAGATGTGGGTTTAATTTATGAAGCGACCTTATATTATACATTGGGGTTCATTAGAAAAAATGAATCAAAAAGGCTTTAGCTCAAAGTTCTTTGAGGGCTGTAAATCCCAGTTTGGCTGTAATGAATCATAAACAGTTGAGAGATGTTCGCAACGTAAGTATGCCTTACCCTTAATACTCGATACCAGGGTTGCATAATTGAACGCAAATATTTTCATTTTTATGAATATTAGTATTCGCAGTAATCAAAGCTAGGTTTTATTTCAAACATTTGAGCAATAGTTTTGATAGTTCGATGGAGGCCTCTGCTTTTACTGCTTTTTTCATGCAGATAAATGACACTTTAGCCAGCTGTAAGCTCATCTCAGACTCACTGGTACATAAGTTAATTTAATCTGTATTGTCCTTTACAACAAGAGACCTCAAAGGGTCGCATCTTAAAAGCAAAGAAACATCACAGTGAAGGAAATTAAAAACAGGTTATTAAAAAATAAAGAGAGAGAGAGAGAGAAACATCCAAGTTATGAAAAAAAAAAGCCTTTTGGATCAATCTTGAATTCCCATTGAGTACAGTGGACAAAAGGGTGTGTGTGTGTAAATCATCATGATCAGCAGGTACCCGATAAATACTGAGTTATTATTGCTCTCTTTTGTTTTTGTCAATTTACCAAACATCCTTGTATAGCACTACATATACGTTTCGGCATATCTTGCAAACCTAGTGTCAAGTTTGCTTTTATAGGATTACAGTAGGACTAGGCGATATATCGATATAAGAAATATATCGATGTATTTTTACATTAGATATGGGATTGGACCATATGGCATATATAGATATACAGATATCAGATGCTGTTGTTGACAGGCTGGTGTTTCTCACACAAAATCTTTAAACAAAGAAGGACACACTTGTCTGTCCTCTAATGTCGACCTGAATACAGCACTAACTATTTATCAAAGTCAAAAAGAAAGAAGAGGAGGAAATGTTTCCTGAGTTCATAGTCTGTTCAACTGGTTGAGACTGTTGATGTGTAAAAACTATTTTCTTAAACTGAGCAGTCTTTGTACATGTATATGCTGCCCTTACTAGGGTTTGTCAGATTTCATTCTTTTGTAGTGATCGTTGTTTACATCTGTGGATTTGTTAGAGAGAAGAAGAAAATCTGTAATTTGATTTTAATCGGCCATTTATAGTTGTCAAAATGTTGATGTTTTTCTCATATAAATACATTTATTTCAGAAAAGATTGGCCTATTTCCCTTTATGGGCTATTTTTATTTAAGATATATTTTTTCATTTAAATGTGTAACTTATGGAGCTCCACTTTGAATAAAAAAGGTACTCTTGTGGTTATACAGTATTTATTTTTTCATCATATTGTTCTTTGAACAGCTGAGCATAATTTCATCTGACCAGTTTGTCATATTTGGCATGTCATATTTGGATTTGACTGTGACTAAACATTTGCTCTCACTTTGTGAAAACAATATCAGGATATATATATCTCAGTGGTTCTCGAGTCCAGTCCTCAAGACTCACTGTCCTGCATGTTTTGGATGTTTCCCTGCTCCAACACTCCTGATTCGAATGATCAGCTCGTTATCAAGCTCTGTAATAGCTTAGTAACGAGCTGATCATTTGAATCAGTTGTGTTGGAGCAGGGAAACATCCAAAACATGCAGGACAGTGGGCCTCGAGGACTGGACTCGAGAACCACTGATATATCCTATATCAATATTCAGCCTAAATATATCTAGAAATGACTTTTGGTCCATATCGCCCAGCCCTAGCTCAGAGCCATTTATTATGAAATAAATATGTTTTGCTGTGTGACAGAAGAAGAGACTCAAAATCAGAAATTATTTAAGAGGTTATTGTGACTTTATTATTGATTATGTAAATATATATGAATACACAGTTATATTATATAGTTCCTTGCTTGTCTCCATATTGCAGAAAGCTTTTTTGCAGCCCCTGCTGACAAAACCACATATGAAATGACTCACACCATCACCAATTTATTTGAATTTATAATGAAACCTTGAATTCTCTCTTTAAATGCTGAAACACATCCGTGTGTCACCTCAGCGTCCCTCACCTGCTGCAGCATCCCTCTGACCTCCTCCTCTATCGGGCTGCAGTCCGCTGAAATCACCGGGAGCCTCCGCAGACACACGGCCGCCACCAAAGTCCACGGAGAACTCGCTCTTTCTGTCTCTACTTTGCTCTGTGCAGTCACCCTACGAGCAGACGTGCCAGAAAAATGTCGGAGCCCGGAGTTTCCGAGGGCCGTCCTGCCAAAAGTGGACAGAAACTGGAAAAGAGACCGACTCGCCATCCTTCCACAGGGCGCAGACATCTTCTTTTGCTGCGTTCAACGTCGTCCGGAATTAAACCAACTTGTGCGGGTTCTCGGGGTTCATTCGGGTTTTTCCATAAGGTAATGGTAGGCTGATTTACAAAAAATATATATATTACGTCTATATTTCAGTTTTTTTAACAATGAAATGGCTGAATAATCAACAAAAATGTGCTTTACACTCGCCAGACTTTTTTTCTCCGTTTGTGTAGAGGTCAGGAATGATCCGTTTACGATTTTCCTATTTACGAGTATTTACTTGAAGGCAGCATTGGTTTGATTCTACCCATGATTCTTTGCAGGATACCGAATGGCTTATACGGTAAAAATGTAGGGGTCAAGAATGTAAACACTTTTTGATATATATTTTGGTAAAGAAACCAACTTCAAAACAAATTATGTTGATACATAACAAAGGACACTTTCAAACACTCTAATCAATTTTATCGGTAAATACGGCATTTGTAGTCAAATTTAAAATGCAGACATAGGTAGAGCACCCCTTGAAGGAATAATAGTTTAATCCAAATCTGCAATACTGTCAATGTCACGTTTGTTGCATTGGAAAGCTAACTGTCCGAGTGAGTGTGTCTGTAATTATATTAGATATGTATAAGTTAAACAGTATTTCAGTTAGTTCTTTGAGTAACGTTTGCAGACAGCTGGCCGCCTCCCTGCAGACCAACAGCAGCTCTCTGTAAGTATTTAGGGACACGGTTTCCCTGTTTTCCTGTTAGCTAACAGCTGATTCTGTGGGATGAATGTGACAGACGCTCCTAATAAGCCTTGGGAGGTAACTGAATGATACGAAATGGAGTCTCGTGTTGTGTATATGTGTTTAGATGTGGAAGCAGCGGGCTGAAGAGAACATTATGCAGCAGCACAGTCAAACTTCAGGAGGCAGCAGCAGCACCAACTCCAGCATCAGGGTCCGAGAAAACCTCCAGAGAATTCAGGTCAGACATCCCTGTAAATAAGCATGTCTATGTCCAGGTTAATTTTACATCCTTTTTATAAGTTATTCACCTCATGTTTGATTTCGCAGCCATTTTCCCCCAATCCCTGGTCAGGACAGTCCTCTGAGATGGGCCGGAAAAAAGTTTGAAGAGTTGCCAATCATTCACGTTAAAGCCACATACAACAAGTAAGTACTAATGCCTGTCAGAGTTGCCTCAAAAGCTTTTACGACCTGTTCCCTGATATGTTTTTATAGGGAGGTCCGGGGATCGGTGTAGTGTTTCGAACGATTCGTTCAAAAGAACCGAATCTTTTAAGTGGACGTACGGAACCGAAGCATTTCCTTGAGTGATTCGTTCATTCATTCATCTCACTTCAGGTCAACTGAAGTGAGAAACAGCATTGCCAGTCAAGCAGCCGGCTAACGAGGGGCGTGAAAGATCACGCATTGAACTACACTCTCTGGAATCAGTTTTGTCAGACAAAACTACTTTTTTTTTTTTTTTAACTGCTAAATTGCCACCACAACAACTTGTCTACAATAGGACACAGCATGAAACAAGTGGTGCATTAAACCCGCAGCATCCTACCATTGCAGCGGTTTGCGAGGGAACGATGCATGCTCAGTGTGAATTCTTCTAAACTTTCTGTGAACGAATCACTCACTGAGCCCAATTTACCAAGCAGACCTGATAAATAATGTACCATAGGACAGTACACACAAAACATCATGACTTATAAACAAGTTCATTTTTACAAACCTGTTTGCTAAAGCCACAACACTCTCATCTCCTGGTCCCAGAAACTATGATCGGAACTGAATCCTGAACCGTTCAGCTGTGTATCATTTAAGGAGATCGGAGTCGCAGGCTTCTCCTGCCAAACTCTACATGATTCGGTGATTTGGTGAACAAATCTTTTGAATGAATCTTTTTAGTGAACTGGTTCTAGTGTTTCAGTACATTTAAAAGAACTGCCGTGCCCATCACTAGATCAGTGAAAATAATAAGAATTTAATAAAACAATGACATTAGTAAAAATTGGCATGGTAGAAATGATAGAAAGTATAGCAACTACAGGTAAAAATCATTTCAATCCAAGAAGAGTAGCACGCTGAGCAACTGGAACATGCAGTCACAAAGTCATCCTTAAAACATTCACAGTTCTTAGTTTCATTGAAAGACAATTAAATTTCCAAAGTCTCTCTAAATTTGGAGTTTTTAGCTCAGATACAGAGCTGACGCATTAGCCAGTCGGACACAAACACTACTAGGGGTGGGAGAACAAAATCAATTCACATAAGTATCGTGATTTTTTTGTTTTACAATTTTGAAATCGATTTTTTTGGTCAAAAATCTTTTTATTTTTTTCAAAGTTAAGAATAAATCTTAAAAACTGACTTACATATGTTGTATATTTTGGGAAATATGGTGCCTGGAATAGTCAGTAGACAATCATAATCACTCAACTGCTTCACTGGTGTTAAAAATGCAGACTTAAAGTCGAGAAAATCGACAGTATCATAGAATCACAATTTAAATCGAATCAACATCTAAAAAAATCGTAGAAAAATCAAATAGGGAGAAAAGCATATTGTCCCAGCCCTAAACACTACTGTTGAATTACTGTTGTTTCATGCATACTGTCATGTGTTTCATGGATTTCTGCAAAATGGAGGTTCAGAACTGCAAGAGCTTCCTGTGTAGCAGTATTTGATACTAAAACTCACTCTGCCATAACTTAAAAAAGCCCAAGCATGAATTGTTCATTTCTTACTTAAAGGCAGTTTTGGGGTATAAAAAGACTATGAAGACATTTGACTATTTGTCATTTCAAGTAAAAAAGATGGACGTAGTCAAACAGGCAAAGTATAAACTATGATTCTTTCTCTAACCCAGGTGAGATCTTAAAAAAGGGCTAATGATCGAGTGTGTCCATTAAGCAGGAGATTATTTATAGCACGGAATCAAAGGCAGACCTCATGAGAACATCTTGCTTAATACTTGTCGTGAGGACCGCTTATTGGGAACATTTAACTTGTACTCAGAGTCACAGTGTGGTTAATATGTTCTGTTCTGTTCCAGCACACACATCCAGCTGACGGACAGCGCAGGACAGTCTCTGGTCAGGACGTCCTGTGGTACAGAAGGCTTCAAGAACGTCAAGAAGTCGACGCCTATTGCTGCTCAGACTGCAGGAATCTCTGCTGCAGCAGTGAGTGACAGTGATGATAATAGAAAATCTTTATATACGGAGCACTTTTCTAAACTCCCCGAGGGCTCTACGTAAATAAAACAAAGAATATGTTCTCTATGAAAAAGATGAACTCTTAGTGAAGAAACTCATCCCCTGATATATATGCTCTACTAATAAGTAACACAGCCCTCTACCTGGCCCCTAATGCCACTCATGTCTGGAACATCAAAATAAGTGGGTGCAAATGGGCAGCAAGCACAAGAACATTACCAGGATTATCAAGTGGGCACCTTCCTAAACAGTGTTTTGTCAAGGTAGGCTGAGGACATGATTGAGAGGCTTTACAGACAGCTCCAGTGTCAGCAGAAAAATGTCTGAGTTTTTCTGACACCCTACCTGACTGTGAGAGATCGATGTCTGTGTGTTACCCTGAGACACAGGATCAAAAGTACATGGCGATCTCTCATAATATTAAAATCCAGTCCTAATTTTTCTGTCTGAATTATTTAAGCCTCATGAAGAAATTTGTGTTTGTGTTAAATTTGGAGCCCTCTTTAGACACAGTGATGTGTCTTATTTTCTGTGATGTTCTCCTGAACAAGTTTAGGTAGTGCTTATGAGAGTATGATAAAAGAGTATGATGGTGGGTCTGCCCCTAGTTTCTTCAACCTGTTGGGATATGTCTTGTCTGACTGCTAAACTCTTTAGGTCCTTACACACTGGGGCCGACGCAGATATAGAACGCAAAATTATGAAATATTCTGAGGCGAATTTTGACGCGCCTGACTGTACACATCACGCCCGATGCGATTTTGCGACTTTCCGGGGGGAAAAGACTTTTCCCGGGGAAAGTCCTGCCTCCTTCGCCTCTGATTGGCTAGAAAAGCTGGAAATGTCATCACACGCTCAAGCCCAAATGGTCAGCACTTATAGCCAATCAGAGGCGATAAGATAAGCACATGAAACTATGGTAACAATAGTTAGCTTACATTAGCACAGATGAAAGTTAAAACAAAGACGTTTAGCAAACTGTTCAAGCACACAAACTATCGTCATATGAGAGATCCGACGCTATGTTGTCCTTCAGGTTGTTATCTTTGTAATATTTGTGTCTTTTATCATAAAGCACTCTGTTCTCTTGTAATCAATCAGCCGGTCGGAAGTGATTGGTCAGAAGTGGACACACAGTATGCGAAACTTTAGAAAAATCGACCGTGATCCGAAAAAATAAGTGCCGCAATATCGCAGGATGGGAAAACATTGCTGATGTGAACACTTGTATTGAAATAATCGCATGACAAAAATGGTCCCGGTGTGAAAGGACCTTTACAGTACCTAAAAGTGTGGAAAAATGATGAGATAAAAACATGATTATCCCTGATGGTTTGGCTGCTTCATGTAGAGAAGTCTGTTTTATGACCAGCTAAAACCTCCTTAGTACGGCTTTAAATTTACTGCACTAAGAAAAGTTGCACCAAAGATAAATAAAAGGGTCAGTGTTGTCTTGCTTCCCTGAAATCTCATTGTATTCCTCACATTTTAAGTGGTATATTTTGGATTATTTAAATCGTCTCCTCTGCAAAAAAGTAACCCTCTCATACTGTCACCACAATATATAGGTGTGATTTAAGAAATGATCCAATTAGATGGTGAAACAGTTGCAGACCTTCATTAAGGACTTGTTTGCATAGATATTGGGACACCCAAGCAGGAAAAGCAATTCATTTGAATAAATAGATTTAAGCAGGAACCACTTCTTGTTTTTTTTTTTTCACCCTGTGTAACAACAATTTAAATGTGTTAAACTTGTGTAGTAAATAAGCTGCCCTCAACAAGAGGCTGTGACAGAGAGCAGCAGAAGGTCTTATTTAGACTCTAAATTAGCCTGATTTATGCAGACTGCTGGCTAACAGGGTTAGAGTCGCACTGATTCACGGGCTGAAGTGTTTATCACTGTTCCTTCAAGTCTTTTATCACGTTAGAGAATGTGTTGTTGAGATTGTTGTGAACACTGGTCTGCTGTGTTCAGATAAGGAGGAGTTCATATGAACATATTGCAACGTCAGAGTAACTCTAATAAGGGCTGTAACTGTTTTTGGTTTTATCATCCATTGATCCAATTGACAAAATAAGCTACCAATCAGCTCAAACAACTCAAGATTTGTGTTTGACCTGGAGAACCAAAAGATATGGGGCTCTATTTCCGTGCCCGCCGGCGGTGTGGCGGCGCTTACAGTGACACTTGTTGAGGTGCTGCCCTCTGTCGCCATCGTGTGGCATTGCTGTCTTCAGCCACCCTTGATCTCTTTGACTGCTGCACGAAAACTGTAACACGCCTCGCCAGTGGCGGATTTCAAGGTGAGGTGAGGAGAGGAGCTGATGTGATTGGTGAAAACAGGTCTCGGCTGAGTTAAATCCACTCCATGCCCTCTCTTCTCCCTCTCTACGACTTACGCCGCTGGGAGGACCTGAATAATGGAGGGGGGTACTTGTGCCTTGTTGGCACGGCGGACCTGACCCACGCTGCGCCACGTCGCCGGCTAGGCACGGAAATGGAACCCATGATCTTAACTGTGATGCTGATAGAAAAAAGCAGTTAAACAGTTCAGTAATGTTAACACTCAATGGTTATGAAACACAATCATCAAAACTATCTCCACAAATTTGATCTGCAGTAACTGTTTGTTTTTTCTTTACTGATTTCTTACTGACTCAAAGTTAAAAACTCCAGTTTTGCTGTAAATGTGCACATCAGTCCAATCTGTGTCTCTCCTCTCAACAGAAAGCCACAGCGAAGGGAGTGACGTTTGTGCGAGTTGTGGTCAGAGGTCTGGGCCCCGGACGTCTGGTGAGTAAAAGGAAATATTAAGTGTGTTTTGTGTGTTACCAAGTCCTTTTGTATTTATAGATCCTACACACACTTTACCCTACCACTATTCTTTTTTAATGTTTGCTGGTTGCAGGTCTAAATGGGTCTCAAACTGACATATTGGTATTGAAAAAAAATTTGACCGCATGCTTTGATAAAAAACTGCTTTAAAACATAAGGAAAGAAGGTTTTGCGTGATTGTAACTGTTTTGTGAGATATTTTGTGGATTCAGACTCTATAGTTTAACATACTCTGCAGAAAAATGAACAGTGTGGCGATTTAATGAAGTCAGATTAGCATTTTTCAAGTTACACTCAAGATATTCACATTTATTTAAAAGTCTATCTTATAAACAGTCCGTTTGTTTTTCACCTGTTGTAATCCATATTGATCTCAGAAATCTCATCAGTCAGGCTCAAGTATATTGTTATTTGCATTGCTATTTAAAGCTCCTATGAGAATTTTTAGCAGGTCATAAAAAAGATTGAATTTAGTGTTTGTGTCGCTCCTCTATATAGTCACTAAAATGGCCCAAACTTTACAAGACACACCACTAAATTGTCTCTTTTATTAATTTATTTCTTTGTCATTATTAGTATATTTTTTTGCGTTGTTCACAGTTGACTGATTTAACATTTGATGATTCAAGAGCAGGTCAGATGTTTTATTTAATCATAACAAACGAGAAAAGAAAATGTCTTACGTAACATTTATTAAATAAATAACGGACTGGAAAATGTTTGCAACAAAGTTATGAAAACAAAATCTAGTCAAATATTTAGTATGAATCTTTTATGGAATTAATAGAAAAGAAAAATACTTTGGGTTGTGCTGTAATTAAAAAATAAATAAACCAACCAAACTTTATCTATATTGTACCAATTTTTGAACAAATATTATCTCCAGATGCTTTGACGAAGAAGCAGGTCAAGATCACAGTTCACAATGATTCGTTTTTTATAAAGTTAGATAGGTTGAGCTGTAATCTCACCTAGAAAGATAAGACCCATTCTTATCTAATCTTAATTCACCATGAGCTTAACTTCCCACAGTATTATTTTTTATAAAATATGATAACCGGGTTATCATATTTTATGCCGCGCCTATGCCACGCCGCCGGCGAGGAATGAAAATAGAGCCCCATATGTTACTATACTCTCAGCGCTGTCTGCAGCACATCATTGACTTGCTGAAGAATGATGTAAAAAACCAAGTAATTTTTTTTTTGAGAAACAACACTTTGAACACTCTTCTTTTTGTTAAACCAACCCATAATCTACATAGAAAAACTCAAAAACCGGTAACTTCTTATATTTTTTACCATTAAATTTCATACTGAAATTTAAAATCCTGCTCTGACCGGGCTGGAATATTCCCTCATTTGCAAGTTTATTTGATCAGAAAAGTAGCCTCCGATTTCCAGTGGAGGTTAAAAAGCACTGAGTTCCATATTATAACAGTGGGATACAATTACTATGTATTTTTCATTGTGTGTGTGACTGGGCTGCCCTGCCTTAATCTAATACAGCGAGAGTATCTCAAACAAACCTGTCGCTGCATAAAGAAATATGACCTTTAATTAATTTCAGCCCTTTCATAATGAGGATCATTTAAGGCTGTTTAAGGGGCCACACACATCTTGATCTGCTCCCATTAGCTTTGTTGATGAATGAGCGCTTTCTCTCTCTGTCTTGCAGTCTGCGATCAAAGGCCTGACAATTGGCGGCCTGCAGGTGGTATCGATCACTGACAACACCCCCGTGCCACACAATGGATGCCGCCCACGCAAAGCCAGACGGACATGACCTCAGCAAAGCCAGGAGTTGTGTGTGTGCTGTAAAATGCTAATAAAGTGTTGTGTTGTGTAACTCTATGGCTCTGAGCTGACCTTACATAATTCATTGGTGGAAATAATTGCAGATGGTGTTTAGTAATGAGCGGAGAACAGGTGTCTCCGTCCTCCTCTGCGACTGTTGACACACGAATAAACCTTCAGTCTCACTGCAGGCGCTCTGATGTTCATTAGCAGGCCTATGTTTGCAGATAGAACAGACACGGACTGACAGCTGTGAGTGGGAGGCAGTGACTGTGTTAGAGCCTGAACACACCACTGAGCTCACACACTACACATGAAGTGAACAGACCAGACGAGTTCAACCTGCGTGTATGAACAGTGTCCTCTTTATATTTGACTGTAGAAGTACATTAGAGAGCAAACATCATCAGTTTAACATGATATACAGTTTAGTAAAGCTCTTCAGGAAAGAACACATTTACAGATCAGTCATGTACAAGAGTTGTAAAATGGAAACGTTAAATGAGAGGCAAACATGCACCGCGCCGAGTGGAGCGCCACAGTGTTTGAAAAGACAAGTGGAGTTGAGTGGGCTGTAAGTGCGGTCCAGGGCCAGTTCAATCATATTTTTTACAAAACAACAGAGTTTGAGTCGGTCTACCCTTTCAAAATAAAGGAAGAGAGCCTTCACCACTGTTAGAAATAAAGGAAATCAGCAGGCTGCCTTTAGTCAGTGCATATGCTCTGGATCTATTCCCTTCAGTGGTTCATCAAACAATGAAGAAAAAAGAAGTCAAAACAGCTGCAAAAATACTCAGCAGGCCATCTTGGACTCACTGAGATCTGCTAGAAGTTCATAAACTCCAAGGATGTGTTTGATCCCACTTTGCTGTACTCTGATAAAAAAAAGAAAACATATTTGGAAAGAGTGTTTGAGTTCTTATAAAAACGAGGCCAAAAAAGTTTGTCACAGAAAGCCAAAGCGGAGTACCATCACTGAAAACACCCGACTCAGACACAAAGACCCACGAGGATTCACACAACAGTTTCATTTAATTTTAACAAGTTATTATTTTTTTAACAAATGCAGCACACAAACAGATGTTAGCCCTTTCAGAGTGATGTCAGACTCCCAAAGCAGCTGCTTTCTCTTTTCTATTTATGGTCCTTTTATAGAGGAAAGAATCAGCTGACTTTTCATAACATCAAATACAATGATCATCATTTCATTTAGTCACGCTGAAATCTATATCTGGTCAAAAACAAAGTCCGATTTTTCATGTTTCAATGTTTGATTCATGTCTCTTCTTTCAGAGGCAAAGGTGCTTTACGTAGTGCCCTAATAAAGGGAACTTTCAGTGCTGCTTTTGAGATCAGCAAGTCTTCTTAAAAATAAAGCTCAGGGACAGATATGTGATTTTACAACTCTAAAGATATCAGTGCAGACAAAGAGCATTTTTAACGTCAACAGCAAAAACAACTCTCCAGCAACATTGTCAAAGATCAATGACAGATGTTAACCTCTCTATTTAAAGCCAATCACTGGGGGTTGAAGTAGGTTGTCTTGTGTTTTTGTCCTTGTTTATTTTTAATTTAGTACTTTTTTTTACACTTAATTTGGTGTTTCAGCAGGTACAGTACAAGCACTTTAACTGTCCACTTGTATGATATGAACTGTCGGTCTACTTTGAAATTAGCTTCTCCAAACAAAACACAAATTATAAAGTGACAACATGAGTCTGGATGCTGCCTGAAGCCCTGACTCTCTGACCAGATCCCTTTAAAGAAAAATGGAATAAAATCAGACTGCTGCTGCTGCTGACAGATGATGCAACGATGTTCATCAATACTCTGAAGACGATTGAAACAAATATCAGACGCACATGCTGATGATTCGAGTATCTGATAAACTTAAAATTAACTAGAAAAGGTGCAGATCAGAAAATAGAGATTTTTATACACTGGCTGTACAAAAATACATTACTTTATTCAAACCACAATGAAACGTGTTTTTTTTTTTTTTACACAAACACAACTCTCCATCAGATCAGGCAGAAGTATAATTACTGATGTAGGATATTGTTTACTTAAGATGTCTGATATTACAGCTTTAGTCGTCCCCCCCGCCTGACATCGCTGATACATTCAAACACACATCTATCGCATAAACCTTAAGCAACAGCACTCCTAAATGAGCACACAACATAAATAACAGGCTGGGTTACATTACCGTCAACACACTACCACAGCAGCAAACAGCAGGACAGTTGAAAGCAGATCATAAAGACGACAATAAAGGAACTGAAAGGGTAATTGTAGGTCTTAAGGAGAGCTTTAAAAGCCCTCTCAAGACGACAAAAAGGAGATATGATAGGTGAGACAGAAGAAGTGTTAACTTACATAGACATCAGGCTTTCTGGAGCTGTACTCTGGCTTTTTAAAGCCGTCTCCCTTTATTAGGGGGAAGAGTTTCCTTCATTGTTAGGGATAGCCGATAGTGTCATTGATACCAGAGAAAGTATAAAGTGTCTACACACAACATCTACCCACTTGTATTCTCTACAGAAACAAATGTACGATATCAAGTAGTACATTTTGACTGTGCACATCAGCATGTAATGAAGTTCCTTTTAAACTCTCCCAGGCTCTGCAGTGACGAAACACAAAAGTGGCCATTGCATGTCAAGAGAAGATTGTCGGTCAAAATCCCTTCTCAGTGGGTTAAAGTGAACGCAGTGAAAAAACAATAATCGTCCCACACAAGTTGGTGGTGATGTTGCCTTCACAAAGGCACTTATCTGCAGACTGTAGTTTGTGAGTTTGAAGCAGAGCGGGGCTGGAGAGAAGCTGCAGAGTTTGATAAAACAGGAGATGTGGATATTACGCAGTTCAAGCATTCGGTGCTTTTTAAATATTGCACTTTGGACGAGGGCGATGCAGCATGGAAGTCTGGAACAGGAGAGACTTGGAGTGATTGTGCATACAGCCCTCAGATTAAGAGACAGAGAGGGGCGATATGTTGGCACGGTGAGATAAGTGCAGGAGTGGATTTGGTAAGTGGAGGAGTGTTAAGGAGGATCCCTCTCTGCATCACTTCCCGTGAAGGTTGCCTAACTCTATGTCTTCCTTGCGGCGTTTCTGCTGGGTGAAGAGCGAGCTGAAGGGGTAAAGTTTTGCTTTCGCTGGGTAGCGCTGGCCGGCAATGTCCACCTCATAGTCCCCACGGTTGATGAAGTCTGGGGTGATAGGTGTGGGGAGCCCCTCTGGACCAAAAGGTGGAGACACAAAGCCGAGGCAGACGTGGCGCTCCAGAGTGTAGCTGTAGGCGCTGCTGGTAGTCGTGCCTGCTAACTGACTGTTACAGTAGATGGGTTCACCCCACCATGGCCACAGGTCCAGCTCAGTGTCATGATCCTCCAGAACCAGCATGACGAACCGCCGAGATACGCCATCCTGGCGCTGCTGCAGCAAGGACTCACGTCCGAGGAAGTCCGTGTCCTGATAGAGGGTCAGAGGAAAGACAAGAGAGTGAGTTGATGGGAAAAATATGAAGAAAAAGAGAGGTGAGAAATGAAGATAAAAAGGGCAGAGAGAGGGGAAAAGAGATGAATAGAGGGGAAGAGAGAGAAAGGGCACTGTGAGGGGTTGTGAAAAAAAAATCATCTCCAAACACTGCACGGCTCCTGGGAGAAAACAGGAGCTATTCTTCATTTTTATATGTGTTTTAATAACAAACCTTACAATAAAGATATAGATTCTGCTGATGAATAGTCATCGCAGAGCAATATGTGAAACCAATTTCACACTGTGAGAGCCATTCATTAATACTGCGCTGACATTACTGCTGCGCGCAGCAGAATGAGCGGGATGGTAAACTTCAGTGCTGCTGGAGTAAAGGGCCACCTGTTGTGCCTGCAGGTGCAGCTTGGAGACGATTTTTCCTCTAAGTCACAGAAAAGACTGCAACATAGACATCTCCGGGTTTAACCAAGCAGGTGGTGAGGTGGCTTTTATTGTTCTGCAACTCGCGATGTTCAGCGACTGTTTGCCTAAGACACACTATCGCTCGATCACTGAGTGTAGAAAGACTGAAAACTCACTAATATTCAATAATAACTCTGAATCTCTTCTTCCCTGAAACAGCCTGAATAGATGGAGGAGAGAAGCTGCAGTTGACTGAAAAAACATGCAGCAGATTGAACTTTTGGTAAGACTTTATATGAACCAACCTCCTATAACGCACATTTATAAAGCCTTATAAATTCTCTATTAATAGTTATGACTGATTCTCTAATTCTCAATTCAGAAAATGTGTTGTCAACTGACAGCACTGTATGAAGTTATGAAAAAATAACTTTCCCGTAACACATAAAGAACTTAAAGCAGTAATTTGCATCTGTAAGTAAAGTGTCAGACAAAATAATTTACAACAATAACATATCTATACTTCTTTTTTTCTCTTGCATTTAAGTATAAACCATCCCTTTAAAGGGAATTATACTGGCTGCTTATCACACTTCAACAACATTGCTATAGGCTGTTATAAATGCTTGTTATCACTCATAAGGATCGTTATAAAACCATATAGATGCATTTATAAGATTTTATAAATAAGCTAATGATTAATTATAAGAGGTGGGTTCATATCAAGTGTTCCAGTCTCAATCGACTATCGTCAGTGCAATAGTTTTTATTTCCCCTACCTCAACTGTGCTGCCTGCTCTAATGGTGAAAAGGTCAATACCTTCTCCAGCTTTGTCACTAGAAAAAAGGGTATAAAATTAAAAAAACTGGTAACATGCAGCTCTACTGAGACTTTGCATTAATGAACATAAAAGCTCTATTCACTGGGCTGACTCCAAGTCAGCTGTGGCCAGGCACTTTTCAGATGGCAACCACTCTCTATCTGACCTAGCATTCTGTGGGATTGATATGATATTCCCCAAACGTCGTGGTGGAAATATTGATCAAACACTTTCACAATGTGAATGGAAATACATTTTTTATCTTAAAACACTTCATCCCTATGGTTTAAATGAAGAATTAGAAATAGCTTGCTTTTTTGTGAGTGTGTCTGTTTGCACTAGCTAACCCCATTTCCAGTCCACATGTATCCATTGATGAAAATAATTACCTTTAGGTCCATGGCTTATGTATGTAAATAGAATAAGACATGCTTTATTTCAGACTCAGGGTCCATGGTGAGTCACATGGATTTGTTTTGTATCGCTGTAATGTCATGTGTGACAATGCATCCTGGGCCACACCCCGGCTCAATTACCTGCTCTGTGTAAGAGGCTCCAGGTGAGTCCAATTAAAGGCTTCAGGTGTGTCCAATTAAGCTCTCCAGTCTGACTGAGAAGAACTCAAAGACACACTCAGACAGACCTCTCACTATTGCACCTACAATAGTCGATGGAGACTGAAATGTTTGCTGCTTATTTGTTTGATCCTAGCATTAAAATGGATCTAACTTTTTAGGACATTTGTCTTTTTTATCTTTCTGTGTGCGAGTCCTCTACAGCCTTTTTGTATTATCTTATCTGACTACCGCACCACAAGTAAGAATACTAGGACTGATGTTGAGTGTTCAGCTCTTTTCTTGATAATCAGTTCATATCAAGTGTTACCAAACTTTCTTTTTTTTAAATCTGAGACAGTAAAAGCGTTATTCATATTTTACAATGTTAGTTAAGGCCAAACAGCGGATCTGTGAACTAACCTTGTCAAACTTAACCCTGAACTCTCGCCCACACTCCAGCGGGGTGGTGAAGGCATCGAGGTCCTGACCCCAGAAGGCGAAGAATTTCTCTATACGCAGGCTGCGCAGTGCGTAATAGCCAGCGTTACGAATCCCGTACTTTTGACCCACCGACATCACTTCGTTGTAGACGTGCAGAGCGTACTGTGAAGAGCAGAAGACAGACGGATGTTAGACCTGATGTGCTGTAGTTTGTAAAGCTTCCTTAAACCTGATTCAATAAGTATACTGTCTGTACTGTTTGTCTTTGCTGTTTGACAATAGCTCACCTCTATGGGGATGTAGAGCATGAAGCCTGGTTCGCCCGTGTGAGTCATGCTCATCACTCTGATCCCGTTAGCATAACCGACACTCATTTCCTGTATACACACATCCACACACAGAGTCAGTGACTGTTTGTCTGCTGCTGCAGCTACAGGTGAGCCTGTCAGTGCTTCTGCAACAAAACTTGAGTTTATTGATTTCAGTTATGACCACTTTAACAATGATCACATTGATGCAGCCTTGTTTCCTACCTTACAGAACATGGAGGGAAAGTGGTCAGGTGTCATCGAAACGTATGAGAGCTCAGCCAGAACGTCCATGGCACGTGGTCCAATCAGATTTAGAGCTGTAGATGAACCATCAGGGTTATCAAACTTCAAAAAGATTTCAGTTAACAGGGATTAAGTAACGGCACACCGACGTCATCTAAGACTAAAAACGTGATGTGAGGCACCAGAAGTTTTTAGGAACAACCTAAAACTTCCAACTCGTGTCACCAACGGGGCTTCACGACGCAGATTACAGTGTAGCTTAAATGAACAGCTTTAATCATATCATGAAAATTTAATACAGCCATGATGAGGAGCTGCCACTGGAGAGGTTTTATGACTTAATTCACAATTACTGTTGATGTAATAACCACCGATAACAATATTTCTACAGAGCCAGTCATTATGTGTGTTCAATAATCATTTCCCTTGAAACGGTGAGGTCGGGACATACGTCAATAGATGTTTCATTCAGACTGGAGCAAGCTTAATCTATTTGTACTCAAAATAAAAATAGGGATGCGCGCTTTTATTGACACATTTACAAGCCGGTACATTTTGACTCAGTGGTACACAATCTACCACTGCATGTCGATGAGAAGAAGAACAAGTGTGTGTGCAACCAGCTGCAACACGGCTGCAATTTTTCAAAGTATGCGCCACATATATTCTGAGGAGGAAGAAGTCCTCAAATTGTCACAAAACAAATTTTAGAATTATCTGATAGTTGATGTTGAAAGAAAAATGTAAGTTGAGCACATGTGTCCCTGTGCTTAACTGCAGAAAGTGGATCAGCGAAAACTCAAAGCTAAAAGGATTTCTCCTGCTAAAGGTAGATTTGAAGCCCACTTTGGCATCCTGCCACTTCACAGATGTAACAATATACAGGTGCATGTATAAATGTTTCACATCCTAACTGCATCAGGCTTTCAACACTGACAGCAATAACAGCTTTAGAGGAACGGTGTTCATTCTGAGCCAGAATAAAATTCACCAAATCCACTTAATCCACGTCTGCATGAATCAAGAATAAGAGTTGATCTGATCTGATAGTTTAAATGTTACCACAGGGCTGTTTTTAAGGGCCGTTAAACTTTGAAGATTCAGCTGAATTATACTGTCATTTCACAGTCAATTATGCTTCAGGTAGAGATCGCAGTCACTGTTTGCTCATATTTCAGACAGTGAAGGTAATTACATTTCAAATTAGTGATTAAGCACCGTCTTGGTCTCTACAGTATCAGATTTCATCGATGCAAAACTTCAAACCAGGTCAATCTCAGAACTGTGATTGGAGCTGTGGGACACTGCAGCATTGCCTGCAGGCTTTTACATCATGTGGCCACTAGATGGCGACGTCACAGCAGTTCCTTGAAATGGTCCTTCAGACTCACCGGTGTACTTCCAGCTGACATCCTCCAGGTGGAGGTGTGGGTCATTAGGCATGTGTTTTTTGATCCAGGACCAACAGTGGACCTGCTGGTCTGTAGGTGAGATGATGAAGAAGCTGGAAAAGGAACAACCATGTTAGTTTTCTCAAACAGTAAACTGGACCTCCCCTGTGATGCTGCTCAAGTGGTACAAACCTGTTCTTGCTGAGGCGGACCACGCTGCAGTCGTTCTCGTAGCCGCCTCTCTCATTCAGCATGCCGGTGTGCACGATGTGCCCGACAGGAACGTCCAGGTCATTGGCACAAAGGTGCTGCAGCAGGTCCAGGGCCTGGTCCTGTGCTGACTGGCATATCAGAACAGAAACAACAAGAGTGTACATAAAACCACTTGAACACAGTGGATGAATTACTTTCAGATGAAGTTTCATTTCTGTTGTATCTGTGGCTACACATTTATAAATTTGCTTCCGTTTTCTAAGCAGGATGTCACACATCAGATGAAGAAAAAGCTGATAGGAAACCATTAATAAATAACTTTGTCACCAAATGAGGGACTAAAGGCATGTACAGAGTTAAAGGTACAGCAGAAGTGTCTTTCTTTTTGCTCTAGCTGTGTGGTGATTTATAAATAAGTCCAGAGAAGAACAAAACTTACAGTGAGTTCAAACTTGGTGAAGGAGGACATGTCGATGACACAGACGGCCTCTTTGCAGCATTTCACTTCTGCACCCACAATATCAAACCAGTCAGGCTTGTAGAAAGTCTTACTCTGGTCCAGAGACAGCAGATCTGACAGCAGACAACCAGACAGAGAAAGTATTGGCTGTTGAGGGTCATTTATTAATGAGAAGAGGTAACCAGACTGCAGTAGAGGATGTTTCTCACTGAGCTGAGAGATACAAGGTAGAAACTCTCATTTCCTGAAGCTGAAAACAAAATCAGAAATGAATCTGCTTTTGGAACATATCTGAATTTTTTATGTCATAAAGCCGACGAAGGTTGATAAAGAAGCAAGAGCAGCAACTTGCCAGCAGCTCTCAGGTGGTCAGATGATTACAAACTATTTTTTAGGATATATGGTGAATTTAGGCACTCCCTTCTTCAGAGAATTATCCAACACAAGGCTGGTGACACAGATTAACTTGAAACGATAGAAATATATGACATGTCAGTAAGTCTTTTGTGTTTTTTTTTAAGCAAGGTTTACAAAGTAATGTGCAGCTCCACCGTTTTCTTTCCTTGCCCCTATTAGACTGTGTGGTTTTCATAAACATTGCAAACATATTGTTACTGAGAATTTTTTATGGCCACAGTAATAACAAGGGCAATATGTAATATTGCGACAGCCCTGGTCCAAATAAAATGGCAGTAAAATCATTGAATTAACCTTTTGTAGGATTTGATAATAACAGAAAATGATGTACCATAAAACTAAGAAAGTAAAGGGGATTATAAACCACTTTAATTAGTTTCAGGGATTAGTTTTTATCTACTGATGTTGTGATTTTAAATGTTGGACCATTTTTTATGACATTTACTTTACTTGAAGTCTGTGATCCAGCTGGGTGTAAAGAAACATTAGTGGATTTGGATTTTCCGGGTTTGCTTAGAGACTCAAAGATAAAGAGGAAGTACCTTTCCCTGGAGGAACAAAGTATTTTGGTCTCTCAAAGCCGTGTTTCTCCATCCAGCGAGCCCCCTGAGTGTCCAGTCGGTCGTAGAGAGGGCTGGTTCGCAGCTGACGGCCGGTCTGAAAGTCCCAGCGAGGGACCTTCAGTTCATACAGCAGAGCTGGACACAAACAAGAGAGACCGGATCAAACCAAACCAAAGCGAGACTGACAAATGCATGATGATACCATAGTGATGCTTGGAAACTTATTGTGATTTTGTGACTCATGAAGAGGATGGCTCAATTACAGTTACTGTTACTGCAACTGTTATAAAGAGAGCATCTTGATGAGCTGGGAGGAAAGTCCACCTTTTCTTTTCATTCAAAAGCACAACTGAAAGTTCAACAATTAAAATGAGACTGAAATTTGATTATTAATTGGACACACCTGGAGCCCTTAATTGGACACACCTGAAGCCCTTAATTGGACACACCTGGAGCCTCTTACACAGAGCAGGGAAAAAGCACTGGGGTTGGGAATCACTAATGGCCCCACTACACAATACTGTAACGATACTTTGGCCACAACACGATACTTTTGCGATTTTTAACATTTTGTAACACAGTGAGTATAGCATTTATATGTGTTTTTCAACTGTTTAGCTAATTTAGCATTAGTCTTTCTTTTAGTTTGTCTTATTTATGTAGTATTTTATTTTCATGTAGCACATCTTGCAAACCTTACATACATTTGTTGCACTAACTTTCTCCTGCTCTATAATGTCATCTTTGCCAACTTCACTGGACAAACAGTTGATTTTATTTTTCAATTATCATAGATTTGACTTCATATTAGCAATTAATTCTAAAAAATCAACACTTGGTGAATGAGACGATACGATATATCACCAGACAAAATATCGCAATACTATGCTTTATCGATTTTTTGTTCCACCCCTCAAAGTGAAGTAAAACTAAGAGGTGGTTTTGCTCTAAAAAACACAGGGAGACATCTTTGTTTCTGAGCTAGACAACTCGTTTCTCAATTTACATTCAGCTGAACTCTGACTGCAGTTTCTCTCCAGTGTAGTTGACGGTTAAGTGACCAAAGTGTAAATAAAGACAGATAACATTTATACATGTGCATAAGAACTGGAGGAGGTGTTTACAACTCACGCATGACTTCCATTACTCTGTGTCGCAGGAAGGTCCGACTGCTCTGCAAGTTGCCAAAGCGTTTGATATCCAGAGGCCAGACGTTGGCAGTGGGATAACCATATGTCATCCATTCTGCTAGATACCTGACGCCAAATCAAAAAAAAGCCATGTTTTTTTTTTTTTTCTGGTCATGTAATGTCTGAGCATTAAAAGTAACGAACTGAAGCAGAGTTATTTCCAGAGTAAATAAACTAATGCCAGCACTTACTTGCCAGCTCCCCCAGCAAAGGCCAGGCCAGAGGAGTTCATCCCTGCCAGCACATAGTAGCCAGAGACCCCTGGCGTCTCTCCCATGAGGCAGCGCATGTCAGGGGTGAAGGACTCCGGACAGTTGACCAGCTGATGGATCTCAGCTGTCTCAAGATTCGGCATCCTTCTCAGCAAGGCACTTAGCATCGGCTCTGGAGACACAGCACATCAGCTGATGTCAACTGACACATCGCTATGAAGAATTTTTACACTAATCACATATGTTCATATAAATAAGATGACAAAAATGCTCCATGAATAAAATGACAGTTAGCTCAGAGCTATGCTAGCCGAACGGCTGAGTGGATATGTAAGTAAAGCCTTTTCCCATAAACCCAACTACTTGCTGCAACATATTGATGGCTGCTACTTGTCATCCTGCCCATTTCCTTTAAAACTAATGAAAATCAAAATTAAACCTCTTTATTAGGCCCATGTTGTCTTAGTTCAACTACTTCTTGACCCACATCGTCAGCTGCCATAAAAGATCCCTTAACTTAAACATCCTGCATTAAATCTTCATGTTGTGCCATAAACAGTCCAGCAGGTTCTCCAACATGAAAGCTGACCCAGATGCAGCGTCTCCAGTCACGGCAGCACAATATAAAGACTCAAAGATGTATGATGTGTCGTGGCCTTTAGCTTTTAGTCATGAGCTATTTAACAGCTTGAACTTGTTTTCTTATTTTCAAATGTTGACTTTGACTGAACCTGGGCAAACTATTTCAGTCATCACTGTAATATAGCCCTCAGTTCAAGCACTTTGACAACAGGTCTGAAAAGAGGTCAGCTTGTGTTTGAGCAAAATACCTCACTGAAGGAGTTTATTCATTAGCTGCACATTTTAGCAGCAAATTTAAAGTATGGTATGCAAATGCAAGTAATGTTAAAAAATGGCAGTACAAAACATGTGGCGTGACCACTGAGAGTTCAGGTTTATTCTGTCCTGCCTTCTTCATTTCACATTCTCCTGCTGATTTACTGCTGTTCCTCCGACTGCTGTGAGGCTGCATGAGAAATCTCCTATTACTAACACAAGGTCAAGGCCAAATGACAGGTGTGTGTGTGTGTGTGTGTGTGTGTGTGTGTGTGTGTGTGTGTGTGTGTGTGCGTGTGTGTGTGTTCCTATGTATGCATTAAGAGATGTACTTTGAACTGTCAAGCATTATAGCATGAAGTTAGAACAACTGGCTGATGTAAACAAGTAATATACCTGTCTTTATTTAACTTGTCCATCTTAAATGACCATGACATTTATTTTCAGTCAGTTAAAACATATATTCTACGCATAATGGAAAAACTTCAGGGGGCTGTGAAAGTAAAGAACCAGCTGCCCAGTACCCTCTCTTTTAAACCTGAACTTCATGCTTTATGAAGCCAGTTTACTCATGGAGAGACTGGGTATGTTCAGCTCGCTTTGTGGTAACCCCCCTGGTGGCGGGAAAACAAGGCTACCCCATTTCACCTTAAGTGCACATGCTAGCCTAGAGTGATCTACAGTGCATCTGGAAATTATTCACAGCACTACACTTGTTTCATATTTTCTTGTGTAACAGCCTTTTTCCAAAATGGATTAAATTCATGTTTTATCTCAGAATTTTGCACACAATACCTCAGACTGACAAAATAAAAAACACTTCTGTTTTTTTCTTCATATTTCTCATTACGATTCCTGTTGTAGTGTTTGAGAATTGTTTTGCCATACTAGAAGTCAACATGTTGCAGCAAACAAAAACTAACAATAGGTACTAATCAGTGACCTGGCCTGACATGAACCTTCTATACTGTATGAACAAAACTCACACCTAAGAAGTATACAACAACAACAAACCCACAATCACTCTTTTTGACTGTACTGCTTTCTGGATTCAACAGGATGCCACTTTAAAAACTGTCTGATTAACTTTCAATTTTCATTTGCACCAGTTTATTTGGCTCCCCTATTTAATATTTAAAGTGGCTGCCAAGAAGCTATGACCGTGGAAATCTTAATTATATTTCTCTAATCTAAAAATTTATGTAACTGTGCTCAAGAGCAGATTTCCTAGTTATCCTCCTCCCTCCCTCCCACTCCCCATTACCAAAGTGGTCCCAGTCCTCCTGCATGTTCTGGATCTCCAGCTGGTTTCGGCCCTCAGTGAAGATGGGTTTGGGGTTCTTCTCGAAGCCCCCAGAAAGAAGTCCCCCTTGCCATTGCCGGGCATATATCCTGCCATCCATATCAATCACCACTGGAGAAGAAACACAGGCTTGGTTAGATCACCTCATTTTGGGGGTTTATTGGAACTAGGGTGTTACTCTACAGAGCAGTGACTGACATGCATTTGAGACATGTCAACATGTTTGGGGTATAAGATAGGGAGAACTTTATTTATCCCTGAGGGGAAATTCGATAATTTGAAATATAATTATTCAGTAGAAAAGATCCAACTAGCTTAACAACTCACAGTAATAGAGACACTGGACTAGACAGCCAATGGCAGACTTTCTGTTCTCTTTACACTGACTCAATTCTTCCCTCTTAAATGTACACACGCATTTAATTGTCAAAAGAGTCCTTTGAAGTGACGTTGTAACTACTCATCAAATGGTGCTTTTATTTTTTGATAAGCTAAAATGAGGTAAATAGACAGAGCTGGAATGGTATACTATCACAAATGGCAGACCACAGTGCAGGCCAGAACATACTGAATGTGTTGCTTTTCCGTATTACAGCCATCACAATTAGCTGTCGATGTTTTTAAATGCATTAGAATCCATTCGTCATTGTGTTCGTAGCAGGAAAAATAAAATGTTCCAGAGTGATGAATATGAGACCTGGTGTTTCTGCTGGAAGAGCTTCCTGAAGAGGTTTGGTGAGGAGGTAGAAGTGTTCACAGCCATGAAGAGGAACCGACACCTTTGTCTCACTCGCCTGGCCCAGCTCGTAAGCCCACTGGAGGAAAGAGAGACAGAGCACAAACATCTCTCATCAGCAGCCCTAAAAACAAAGATAACTACCAAGCCTTGGTTGATTTAGCAAAGAGGTGTTCCTCATGTAAACAAGGCTTATTAAAGACGTAGTGTTTCACAGTGATCTTAAACTAAGAAAGTGCTGCATTTAACAGCCTGAACATCGATATGAGAGGGTTTGACAACAAAATCAATGCATTAACAGGAGGGACGTGCTGAAAGACCTCTCTCTCACTGCGGCAAGGCGTGCGTTAGGTGCTGCAGCTTGTTATCAGACCAAAGGGGCAGCTTAATCATTAATAACTTAAAATAATCTTGTACGGATTAAAAAACGTCAGGAATCATTGAATTACACCCAGATTTCAACAAATTCCTCTATATTGTACGTCTTACAATTGATTTTATTTTTGTCAAATTCTGTGATTAGGTCTGTGTTTAATGCATCGCAGAAAATTATACGTCTGTCTCCCACTTTTAAATCATCTATCTGAAAGACAAGGTAAAATGTAAAGGATTAATTCCTACATGAGATTTTCCCTTTATATTTCCGAGCACTAAGACTGGTTGAGTCTTCTCTGTTTAAATCCCAAAACCACAAGTTGAGATTTACCTGTCCTGCACAGTTGACAAAGTATTCACACTCAATGGGGCCACGGTCAGTCTCCACTGCCAGCACCTGACCCTTTTCTACCAGAACCTGTTGGACAGTGGTCCGGTCCAGGATCTGAACCCCTGGAACGTGTGGAGATAGAGCAGATTATGTGATGCAAACAAGAGGGAGTTCAAGACAAGTTTAAGGTAACAACTTTGAGACTTGTTTAAAAACCCATTGTTGGGATGGTCCATGGTTACATTCTTTACCATGTCCAGCAGCAGCCACAGCCAGGGCATGGTTGACATCAGGTGGAGACACCACAGCGTCTGTGGGGAGGTGGAGAGCCCCCACCAGGTCGTGGATGTTCACAAGAGGATGGAGTTTGGCCACTTCTTTAGGCTTAATGATGTTGCAGCTGATCCCCATCACCCTGAGAATCAAGCAAAAGAGATGAGACCTTACCCTGAGAGCTGATGTCCTACTAAGAAGACCCGGCATATGTAACCTGTTTTAACACCTTAGAGTGTCTGAACAGGCAGGAGTGCAGAGCAGCACCATAATATAACTACAGATATCAATTCTCCAGTATTTGATGGGAGGACATGAAGAGACAGAAACAATAAAAGGCTGATGATGGTGCTTGCAAGTGGGATCATTACTTAACCAGCAATCAAATTCTGATGTTCAAAAAGCATAATCATGCCAAACGTTCAGAGCTCTGTGAGCACCATTATGTCTTAATTCATACTCATAAGTATAGATGCTTCCAAATATAAGACTTCTAAACATCTGCATGAGCTTCTGGGTTTCTTACCTTAGCCGAGAGGCCAGGCGTTTCAAAGAGAGAAAGCGGTCCTGATTTTGAGCAAGACACAGAGACCCTGTCTTTACATACCCTGGAACACATAAACAAACACAGGAAACCTTGTACTGATTGGATTTAGCAGGTCTCAAAAAACACAAGCTATACCACATTCACAGAGTCACAGTGTAAAGTCATGGTCATGGTTACAAATTCAAGGCTGTCAGGGGAGTTATCGCTTTGGCTTTCAAAAAGCCAAATTAATATGCGTGTCGATAGTAAAAGCATTACTCACAGAGGTCCAGGTTGGCTTTGCCTCTTTGTTGGGAAACAGAATGGTAGCTAGACTATTAATTGCTGCAGACATGGAAAAACCCTCCACATAATTTAGCTGATTTGAAGGAACTCCAACCAAAGCAGTATTCTCAGTGTAAGTGTACACTCTAAAATCTTTACTGCTTTACTTTCTTGTCAGCGAGCAAATATTTGTTTATACTATTTTCTTGTACAAAACCCTTTTTGTGCAATAAGAGGTGTTTGTGGCGTTCTTAGTAGATTATCCTCTGTTTGCATGGGGCTTACAGATGACCTTTCCAATACTCTTAAATGCATTTTTATTGGCTCAATCGGGGTTGCAGTTTCATCAGCATGTGCAGCACTTAGGTCCAGGACGAATCTCCCAAAATTTCTACTAGTTTGACATAATTTCAAGCAACATACAGAGAACATTATCTGGCTGACACAGAAATAGCTGTAGAGTTTGTTGTTTCTACTCAGTCTTCCCCTTCAACAGTGAACCAAGTGTATTTTGAGGTAAACATCTCGTGCAAAACGCAGGTTGTGTCATCATACAAAAACAAATAAATAAATAAATAGGGGCAAAAGAGTTATCACAAAGACAGACACACTTCCATTCTGCTTTTCTGAATTAACTTAACTTATTAAGTCAAAACGAAGGAAAAGGAGGAAAACAGTGGCGTTCAGTGGCATCAGGTGAAGCAGACAGAGTCACTGTAATCTGCAGACATCCTGTGATTCAGAAATGTCCCACTCATGACAGTAAGCGGTTTCCCCAACCGGCACTTAGGTTTCTTCTCATTCTATTCCCATTGGGTCTAGTTCTTTCACTGTAAACTCGGTTTCATAGAAGTATCTCTTAACTTAGTTTGGTTGTATTTTTGTCTCTGCAGACCCCAACAGCAGATGAGTATAATTCTGGCAGAAGACCAAACATGTTGCATATGAGAGCAATGCAAAAATAACTGTGGTTTCTCCCAAAATAGTCTTTAGGTTGGAGCTTCTTAAAATTAGTTAAATAATGTGTTAAAAATGACCCGTTTGCAGCCAACAAATAACCTAACTTGTGTCTGGGTGCTCATGTTACTTTTTCTACAAAGAGGCCAAGCTGACCAGAATCCCCTGTAGAAAACAGACCTAATATTGGCAAGTACCTCATACAACCTTTCTTCAAAAAACACATCAGAGTCAGTGCAGCTAATAAAGGTTCCTATCACTGTTGAAATTAATGGCAATAAAACAGATGAATAAACAGCTCTATGAAATGTTTATGGTCAGCTAATTTATTGCAGCAGTAATATAATAAGTCACACAGAAGCCTCTGCCTCTGTCACAGTGGCTGACCTGTTTTAACTCCAGTCTCCTCCTCCAGCTGCTGGTAAAGATTATTGGAGTAGTTTGCCATTTGACACTCAATGGAAATAGGCTTCGCCACGCTGACTATGCCAGCACAAAGCCTGGTTGTCCCTGCACCAAGCCTGCCAAACAGAGGAACAGGACAGGAAGTACAGTATTAACAGGACAATACACATTTCAGCTTCTCCTCCTTTTAACTCAGAAGGTTAAAAACTGTTGGGGCGCATGTCCACTCAACTCCCCCAGAGGATTGTTGAGGTTCAGGTTGATTACTTGACGGGCAGTATTTCTCAAAGCCAATTTAACCAGTTACTTTAACAATTCATTGGATCCCCCTAACACATTTAAACCACCAGACAAACCCATATACAGTGGATATAAAAAGTCTACACACCCCTGTTCAACTGCCAGGTTTTAGTGATGTAAGAAAATGACCACAAGATAAATATTTTCACAACTTTTTCCCACTTTAATGTCACCTATAACCTGTACAATGCAATTGTTGCCATATAAGTTCCTCTTCATCTTCATCTTTCTAGCAAAAGGCCGAAGGTTTTGTGTTAACACTGACTGGTATTTGGAACTGTTCATAATTCCCTCCACCCTGACTAAGGCACCAGTTCCAGCTGAAGAAAAACAGGCCCAAAGCATGATGCTGCCACGACCATGCTTCTCTGTAGGTATGGTGTTCTTTTGGTGATGAGTAGTGTCGATTTTGCGCCAAATATACCTTTTGCAATGATGCCAAAAAAGTTCAACTTTGGTTTCATCAGACTAGGCCTGTCGCGATAATCAATAAATCGCCTTATCGCTCTGTAAATAAAAACGAGGTCGGTCATTTTGCCAGCCTCGATAATTAATGTGCGTTTGTTTTCCTACTCTCTCGCTACCAAACACGCTGGATGAGAGAAGAGGTCTCACTCTGCACATTGTTCTCGGTACCTGGGGGCGTTGGCTCTATAGCGGAATGAACGGAGTTAGTGAACCCTCCTGTCAGTCATTCAGTATCTTTGTCATGGGGGGGCGCGCGCACAGGTACACGTAGGCGCGCACAGGCACACAGACAGACTTGAAAGTCTGACAGACAGTGCTGCAAGTGAGCGTCGTGAGTGAAAAGCAAGCAAACAGAATGAACACGACAGCTTCGGTGTCTAAACCGAACGCAACAGCCCAAGTGTGGGAATATTTCGGCTTTAAACCAAATGAAAGAGGTGAGCCCACAAATACGGACAAGCCGATATGTCGTGTTTGTTCCAAAATTGTGGTGACAAAGAAGGGGAATACGACGAACATGCATGCGCACCTCAAGCACAATCATCCCCTCCATTTTTCCTAACTGAGCAAAAAAAGTACCGCCGGAGGTGCTGCGGAGCCATCGTCCCGACAGGTACCGTTTACTGAAGTGTTTGGCAAGCAAAGCAAATATAAACAAAACAGTGCAAAATGGTGCGCGCTGACAGACAGTGGAAATTGAAGTTTATCACTTTTGGCATGGTGTACTCGCATTATTATGCCATATATTATCATTTTCTATAATTTAAAAAACGGTGTCAATAATATCGTTTATCGGCAATAATTTGTAGCACAATTATCGTCCAGCAAAATTTGTTATCGTGACAGGCCTACATCAGACCATAACACATTTTCCCACATGCGTTTGGGAGATTTCAGATGTCTTTTTGCTAAATTAGGCTGAGCTTTGATGTTTTTCTTAAGATAAGGCTTCTGTCTTGCCACCTTACCCCATAGCCCAGACATATGAAGACAGCAGGAGATTGTTGTCACATGTACTACACAGCCAGTACTTGCCAGAAATTCCTGCAGCTCCTTCAGTGTTGCTGTTGGCCTCTTGGTAGCCTCCCTGACCAGTTTTCTTCTCGTCTTATCATCAACTTTGGACGGACGTCCTGTTCTTGGTAATGTCACTGTTGTGCCATATTTTCTCCACTTGATGATGATGGTCTTTACTGTGTTCCATTAATTGCTTGGAAATTATTTTGTAGCCCTCACCTGACTGATATCTTTAAATAATAAGATCCCTCTGATACTTTGGAAGCTCTCTGCAGACCATGGCTTGTGCTGGAAAATGTGGCTACAAAAATGTCAGGAAAAGCTACTAGAACAGCTTAACTTTATTTGGGGTTGATCAGAGGCACTTGGATTGATGACAGGTGTGTGCTGATTCCAATTTTAACTTAAGTTTAAATGTTATTGGTTAAATCTGAACACAGCCACATCCCCAGTTATTAAAGGGTGTGCACACTTATGCAAACACATGATCTCAGTTGTTTATTTTTACTTCACCTCCCTTAAAGATTTCTGTTTGTTTTTCATTTGTGTTGTACAGGTAACAGGTCACATTAAAGGTGGAAGAAGTTGTGAAATTATTTATCTTGATTTAATTTTTTTACATGACAAAAACCTGGCAGTTGAACAGGGGTGTGTAGACTTTTTATATCCACTGTATTATGTCCCAGTAGTGTTATCTCACCTGCCCTGCTCCAGCAGCACTATGTCGGTCCATCCCAGCTTGGCCAGGTGGTAGGCTACCGACGTTCCCACAACGCCTCCTCCACATATCACCACCCGGGCCTGGCTGGGCAGGGGGAGCGGCTGGGAGTCTCCACTGATAGCCATGCAGTGCGGGGAGGTCCAGAGGCCCCTGCCAGCCAATCTGTTACCCGTCTGGGGAAGTAGCAGACGGGGGAGCAGGACAGGGGACAGAGCCCTGGAGCTCCGCACACAGCTGCACATGGCTGTGCTTTCTGCAACAGCTATGTGCACACAAACAAAAACACAGACTCACAAACTAATCACATATCCAGGATTGCAAGGTTACAATGACATAGATTCAAATCAACTCCAAAGGTTCCTATCTATTTCAAACAGCTTCATGAAAATACAGTGTTGTTATCCTTCCTGGCTTTATGCGAGTCAAATGGGGATAGGGTTTATGACCCTTCTTCTAGTATTTAAAGCACAACATGGTCTTGAGCCAAAATACCTATCATATCCGATACATTCAGACCTTTAAGGTCCTGCAGGACAAGTTCTCTTTCTGTTTGCAGAATCAGAACCAAGCAGGGTGCGGTCATTTTTGTTGCCATATTACTCAGCAGGGGAAAAAATGAGTGAGTAAGCAAGAAGATTATATTGCCAAAGGCACCTTTTAAAAACCTCAGATACAAATCCTTCACCAAAGGTCAAATGAATTTTAAAAAGAAAATATAAACATATAAAGAGCAATCAAAATAGAAAGGATCTAGATCACTGATCACAACTCAAGAACAGAAATAGTGAGAAGAGTGACAGGTCTTCAAATGTGACTTTAAACACCTTTAGAGTCTACTCATCGGACTCCTGCTGTAGTGAAAAACTGTTTTACAGTAAAGTCCCAAATCAGCAAACTCATCCTGTTTTAGTCAAAAGCAAGAATTACAGAGTACTCCTCATTCATAGGACTTGAGGGGCCCATCACAGGCATTGCTAAAATTATTTGTTCTTAAGACATACTCTGAAGCAAGACCATTCAAGGCTTTCTAGACAAGAAGGAGGATCTACATCCTGGATTTAAATCGACGTCAGTTAAGTTATCAGAACCGGGATAATGTGGAATGACTGGAGGTAGTCTGCTGCAGATTATGGACCAACTTTAACTGATTAAAGTTGTCATTGCTCAGGCTGGGGGGAAAAAGCATCATAGTAGTCTAAACAAGAGGATACAATGACACGCACTAAGATTTCCAATGGCTGGATAGATAACAAAGGGCATACTTCGTCAATGGTTCTTGGACAAAAGTGGGACAATTGAACTGTCTTTATTAGGGCCCGACCGTATGGATTTTTTGGGGCCGATGCGATACCGATTATTGGGGAGGGATCCGATTAATCGGCCCATTTTTTTAAACTTTCTATGAAGTTTTAAATTATATATATACTGTAGATTCTCCCCCCCCCCCCCCCCCCCCATTCGGTGCCTCTGCGTCTTAACTCACGTTACTTAATTTCCTGTCCAGTCTCATCTAGAGACATGCAGCTGCCTCAGTAAGAGAGGTAGCTTTTTCACAGAATGTGTACTGTTATTTATTCTACCATCACTGGCACGGCTAACAGTCTAGCGAGGCTAATAGCAGGTGGCTAACTCTAACTTTAGCTTGCATATTACATGGTGCTTCACCGTTAACTCGGCGTGACTGAGACCAGCACAGCGGGGAACATCGTGAAGTGGGTTAAACTGAAACTTGTTGACTTATCGTGTATTTCACAAACTAGTTTATTTACTGCTGAGGCGGACCACTCTCCTCCGTGTGTCCCTGAGCTGCCTGCTTCAGATCCGTCACTCTGCTATGCTGTGAGGTAGTTAGTGGCTAAAGACTGTCCTGAGGTTGGTGCGCCATCTACAGGATAAGTCAGGGAACTTTTCAAATGGTGGAACATTTTCAAAGTGAAACCGAATCTTATTCTCCGCATTTTATTTCTGAAAATATCGGCGAGTTTTGGCCGATTACCTTTTAGTCTCAAATGGGCTAAAACTGACCAATTTAATCGGCTCGCCCATAAATCGGTCGGGCCCTAGTCTTTATGTGTTTGTCAGGTTACAGGGATCTCAATTTGTTAGCTCTGCTGTCTTCTGGTGAATCCAATCACTTCTACAAAATCACTCTGATATAATCCATATGTATTTGCTGCTTTTAACTGTTTTATGCTTCAGCATCTTAAATATTTTCATTGAAAGTTGCCTAATGGTAGATCAGCATGCTCCTATTTACCTATACTGGTTCTATAGTAGTCCTAGTTTTGACAATACCTCTTTGTGCCCTGACCTTTTACTTTCTATTTTAATTGTAACATGTTTTTTTTTTCATGTTTCCCGTCACTGATGCTGTGTTTTCACCCCCTAATGCACTCTGAATGACTCTGTTTTGATGTTGTACAGAAAGTTCATGAATAAACTTACTATTAAAGCTGCAGTTATAGGTGGACTAAGGTCAGCTAGACTAACAACATTAAATACAACCAATATGTCTCTCTTTAAAAAGAAAAACAGGCCTAGAATCAGCAGGGTTTACTGATGTCCCCATTATTTTACAACCTAAGTTTTGGACTTATTTCAGCTCCAACATCGCCCTTTACTAGCATAGCTAGCATTAGCTTACAGTACGTGTGTACCTTTAAAACTGTAGTGCAACTTGAATTCAACAATAAAAAGCCTTCGTTGACCTTTACATTCCTAAAGTTTCGTAAATGTTTCCTGACATTTTGTCCTTTTTTTAGCCGCTGGGGTTAAAGTTAGCCGGAGTTGTCCTAGTAGCTAGCCTCTGCAGCTAAGGCTATGTTAGAGCTAGCTGCTGTTAATGATTTGTAAACGTTAACTGTGCGGACAAACTTTCTTTGACGCTCCTTTTAGTCATCGCATCGACGTTGCACTTACCAAATCAGCCCAGATGAGACGTTATAATTAAGAGACAGCAGTGAACACCGGTTACTATAGAAATGACAGCAAGTCTTGTTTGGGTGCAGCAGTCTGTACAGAGTCAAGTCAATAACATATACAACTTCCGGTATAGACCTTCAAAATAAGATCATTTAACAGTCTTTCAAACTATTTCAGGCTTAACTCCTGTTTTATAGACCTTCAAAATAAGATCATTTTGACAGTCTTTCAAACTATTTCAGGTTTAACTGTTGTATGCTTCAGCACCTTAAATATTTTCATTGAAAGTTGCCTCATGCTAGATCAGCATGCTCCTATTTTCATATACTGACTCTATAGTAAGTCCTAAGGTGTGTCCCAAATTGCATACTTCCATACTAAATACTTAAAATTTTGAGTACACTCAACTCAAAATGGAAAAAGTATGGACAGTATGCGAAAATTGAGTATGCAAACGTACCTGGATGACGTACTCAAATCGCTCAAGATTTTGAGTATGCAACTGTGGACACTCGCCCGCACTCATTTCATCGGTAAGAATGGCTGCGGACGGCTGTGGAGCCAATGGGTCGGCAACAGTCGACCTGGGAGCTTTCCACCAATCACCACCAGCGTTTATCATTTTAAGTACATTTGTGGTGTAACTTGTTTTTTTGTCTTTTACCGCGAATGGTATCGTGAATGCTGATGGTAGTTAGCTAGTAGCCGCCAGTTGAGTTACCCGTGGCAAATGAAAAATAACCAGCGGGCCAGCAGAGCCTGCTCATGGACTATACAACCAGCGAGGCTTGCTAGCCTGTGAATAGAGGCAGTATCAGCCATGGAGGTTTGTCTGCAGCAAATCATGTCATTATTTCTTTAGCTTTTGTTTGTCTGCAATTTCCGGTAAGTGGGCCACGCGGTAGTATGCGGTTTGGGACAGCACTTGTGCACTGCGCAATTGAGTACATAGTACGCCTAGTATACTCAATTTAGTATTTAGTATGGAAGTATGCAATTTGGGACACACCTCTAGTTTCTAGTCTTTCAAACTATTTCAGGCTTAAAGCTGTCAACACACTTGTGTCATTTGGTCTAGGGAGAGTTGGGGTGACATTGTGTTCTATCTATACTGCAGAAAAGAGCCATAAGAATAATTCATAATACTAGTTATAGAGATCACATAAATTCACTATTCTTAAAATCAAAAACATTAAAATTCAGACTTTTTTTGTTTTGTTTGTTTGTTTGGTTTTTCTGTTTTGTTTTGTTTGATTAAGTAAAATTAAAAGTATTTTTAAAAAAGGATAAATGAGATATGAACTTGTTTATTTACTCTATATTTTGTAAATATGTATAATGTAATGTTGATGAGAATGATTGTTAATTGAGTAGTGAAGAGGGGGTAGGTTTAAATTCACAAAAGGCTTCATCCTACTCTTATTCAGATATGTTGGGTTCACATTATTTTTTTTTTATTTTTTTTTTTGCTATTATTGAAATGAAGAAATGGTGTTAACTAGATATACTATATATAACAGTATTTTGTTTATATTTGCATTACATATTGGGAATGATTAATCCTACAAATTAATGTCATTTTGAAATAAGTGGCTTCAAAGCAGCATCAGCCCTCAGAAAGGTGATACCCACATGATCTTTTCAAAAAAAACACCTTTTTGTAATCTTGTATTATCTTGTTTCTTGTATGCATATCCTTGTATTTTGTGAACTGCAAGGAAAAAAACACACAAAAAACATGTGACATTAGCATTAAATATTGATTTTCCTTTTACTGTGGGTTGACTATGGGAAATAACAAATGTGAGTCATGTGGTCTGATTTTTTTACAAGTTTTAACCAAGCTGATTCTGAGTCAGTTCACGTTTCTACAATCACAAGATTGACCACCAGGGGGCATTAAAAGTCCACTAGCAGCACCATGTGTTGCAGTAGTTGATGCAGTTCAACACACTGTTTATGTGTTGCAGTCATTGGTATTCCAGGTTTCTACTTTAGTGTTCTAATAAGGCTTCCTGATCTGAGAGCACACCCTTAAACAGTACTATTACTTAAAGTAGATCTACTCATCAAATTTAACTTCAGTATTGCTCTCTGGCAACAACAACATACAGTGGCAGGTTCAAATCAATATCAGTTTAGTGGGATCCTTTACCATTGGAAAATTAAATGTTAAGTTTTCGACAAATAGCTCATTAATTACAGTAAAATAGCATACTTGTGCCCTGCACATGCGTAAGACATGCAAGAGACTAACTAGTGCAACTTTTCCATGCAGTCGTGTTTTCAGAAACGTTTTCATTAGGTCCAGATAGGGATCCTGGACTATTGACCTCCTACAGGAACTCTTGGCTACATATCTAGTAAAGGCAGATGGCTGTCCACCAATTATTTTGTCCCTTTTTCAGCCTATAAAAATATTCCTTTTTGTTCTTCCCATGATCAACGTAAGTCAGTCTATCAAATTTTAAGAGTACTGTCTAGTCCAGGTCGAAGTGTAAGGACCAATTTGATAAACCCACTGATGTCGATAATGCGTAGGTAATAAATATTGACTTTTATAGCTATACATAAAGGCAAAACTGCCAGCTCAAAAAATTGGAAAAGCATATCCAGGATAACTAATTTATTTAAGTAGGACCAACATGGCCATTCTTCTTCAAATGTTGAGATTTAAACCATTGGTGGACTGTAAATAAGAACAAAACACCTCGAGACACAGAATCAGTTGCTGCATGACAAGCCACAAAGGAAATAGTAAACTATTTTTATTGACATGTTTAAATTCAGCTATTTACAGGTTGTCATAGTGGGCAACAAAACACCTCACACCATTACAGTTTAAATAAACAAAACAAACATTGTTTGTACATGGAGGAAGCCAGCATCAGGACACAAGAGCCAGTCAGAGTAGACGCTCACATGATCATAACACCAGCCTGGCAGACAGATAGTACAGTAGCACATGAAGTTGGACTGCTGTTAGTCTTACAGTTTAACTTTGCACCAGAGATAAGGAAAAATCTTGATACCTGTTCCAGGTGATTTTTGGCACGGTGATAAAAACAATGACTTTTAGTTGTGTTTTTGCATGGTTTCATTTATTTACCACAAATCACACAAAGTATGCTTTACATTACTGCTGACTTTAGTCGAACCTCAATGCCAAAACATTAAAAACACTGGTTTTGTCTTTCAAAAGAGAGTTATACATTTTGTCACAAGGTGGTAGTAAAATACAGAAGTGGTTCTACTTGTTCAGAGGGGGACTCATATGTTTTTAAAAGAAAGGAGCTTCCTCTTCAGAAGATTAAACACTTTCTTTCAGATGACCCCACTCTGAAAATAATCATTACAGTCTGCTGTATAGAAAGGGTGACCAGAAAATCAGTAATCAGTAATTTAGCATCACAGTAGAATAATTTCCGTTTAACATGGCAAACTAGTGTCAGTCTCCAGTGTGAGAGCTTAGGCTGGTTAAAAATTCATACATGAAGACTGAAAGAAAGTTGTTTACTTTCTAATCAAAACATTGAAGGAAAGATATTAAGACAAAGGACTCTAAAGTGAGTCTTTTACTGTGTTCAGACAAAAAGTGAACCAAGTATTTGCTTTGACTTTTTCTCATTTATCTAACATTTATGCCATTTTACTCAGTCTGTTTTGGTTGAAACAAATAAGTTCTTTGGTTAACGAAACTGCCATCTCCATCTGCTCAGGTTGATGCATACTTGTTAAATTCAGTTTTTATGATTTCTATGAATAACAAACACAGATTTTCTATGTTTTTTTCTTTTTTACAAACTGCACTACATTGTTTGCATCATCATTAATGAACATTAGTCTCACCAAATTTTAAGTACTCAAATATTTTCTCCTCTTTTCCTTTTTGCCCGTCTTATTTTTCTTTCTTGATCTTGTATTTTTAAAGGCACAGTGAGGGGTTTTTTACTGGTTAAGAAACAGACTGATACCGACGCCTCCATATGACCTTCAAAAGCAAACAAGACCATTTGCATCAAGTCTGATTATTTCATCGTAGAATGGATGTAATGCTTAAAACTGCTGTGAGGGGGTGGGTGTCAGACCAGATGACTGACAGCAGGCTGAGAAAAAAAACAGTCTTTGTTGACTCTTTCAACAGCCAATTATCCCGGTGAGTGATAGATATTATTGTTGAAAGACAACATGATAAGGTTTCTTTGTGTGAATACACTGTCACTATTTTCACATGCACGTGACATTAGATAATAGGTATAAGTTATGAAGGGGTGCCAAAACCAATACAAGCCAAAAGTTCATCATATCAGTCTTAATATTTCTTATATCTAATTATTGTGTTTGCTCAATATTGTATTTCTTTCAATCCTGCAATTGCTGTTGTTTTATTTTAGACCCTGCAAAACAGTTTGAACTCTGTCTATGAGTGTAGCCTTACTTGGAGTAAACCAATGCCCGGTTTGATGTCCTGTTAGCTGTGGAGCACAAGACATATAATCCATTTAAAGTGATTTATTGAAGTAGCAACCCCAAATAGGCAGAGTTTATTTCTTGAAGTTAAGTGCAATTAGCCTGTAGAAAAGAGGCTAAATCAACCATTTCATTAAGGAAACTTTAAAAAAAAATGTTTGGGGGTTCTGGTTTGGCCTCTTCCAGTTTCTGACTCTATCCACTATGCTGCCCTTTTAGTACAAGATTCAAAAGCTCAAAGATTTACCATAACCCAATGATTTGGTCATGGTTACAGATTCCCTTTTTATGTAACAGCATAACTCAGTTGGTAGAGCAGGCACCCCATGTACAGAGGCCGCAGCCCTTGTTGTGCTGGTCAGAGGACCAAATCCTGGTCCTTCATGTCTCCTATCATTCCCCTCTCTCACCATATCCCTGTCTCAAAGGCAGCTCCATCAAAATACAATAGCCAAAAAGCTTCAAAAAGAATCTTATAGGAGAGTCCTTCTTCATTAATGCATCAAAAAGACACCAACCAAACATGCTATTTGTTTCTTGAATGGCATGTGGATCCCTCATTCCAGATGCAATGTGGGACTTTTTTAAGACATAACATCATGCGAACTTGATCGTCTGAATAAGTTTCTTTGTAATCATGTAAAGCATCATAATTCCTTCACTTTTGGTCTGAACACACCTCCAGGTTATAGCCTAGCTTTCACTTGTTTGGCAATAACTCAGATTCAGCGCTCCATTTTGGTGAAATCTGTAAAATTTTGACAGTTTGGTGACAGTTTGGTGACTGGAATACAAAACAATATCATCGAAAATACATCAAGACTTTGTTTCATGTCAGTGGTTTAAAGGTGCACTCCGCTAAACTTCATTCTGTTGGGTGAGATCCTCTGACACACTGTTGAACTCAGTGGCCCGAGTGCTCATCCCCAGATACTGCTTCAGGAACTCGCTGAAACGCTTTTGGTTGTTCCACTTGCGAGCTGACTTACGGATACCAATGAATCCGCCGTATCTCTTCTGGTAAGATCTCCCCGGTGACATCAGCTTCCTGTAGCCATGCCTCCCTTTCACAAAGCCGCCAAACCTCTTTGAAACACTCAGCCCTAAATCATCCTGTCCTCTTGCTGCTACATCAGCAGCCCCATCCTCCTGCCCTGCCTCCTCTTCATACTCATCCTCAAGAGACAGACCGTTCTGGGAATTGTAGGCAGTCTTCAGTTGGCTCCCCTGGACACCCAGAGCCCTCTCGTCCACCCCGAGTGCCCGGGTCATGTGATCAAATCTCTGCAGGGCAATGGGCAGCAACAGACCTCCCTCTGGCTGCTCTTCCTCCTCCTCCTCCTGAGGAAACAGGGCCTCCACCTCCTCCTCAGATCTTTTTCGCATTGCAGCACTGAGAGAGGGCAATGGAGACGACAGCACTTTATGACAGAAGTCACGGTAGAAGGCGGGGGAGACATTGCTTTCACACTCAGAGAGACACACCTGAAGAGAGGAAGACAAAATGACAATTTAATTTTCTTTCTTAACTCAGCTCAGATCAGCTAAATACAAAAACCTCACTGTGGACAGTGGTCTTGGCCTGACCAATGCCCTGGTTGAAATGCATTGTAACAACCATGATATGAGGAATTTGTGTTTGTGGTAACACACGTGTCACCCTGAGGGTCATTTATGAAAAGAGTATCTTTTAAGCACTACATCAACTTTGAGAAATTCATCTGTGTGGTTTCAGCCGGACTAAGGTGTTTACAAGTATTTTTAAAGTCCAGCTTCTCTTGGACTGATGCAATAAGTCAGTTTATTTTGCATCATACAAAGGTATTGAGTGTGTTATATTTCACATAGTGTTACAACGTTGCAGAAGCACAAGAGACATAAACGTCATATAAACAAACACTGATTCACTGTGCTGAGGCCATGATGTCCTCTGTGTCAACACACCTATACTGACTCAGAGGTATAACTCTTTTGCCTTACTTTAATGCCTTTGTGAGATGTACATTTACATTTGTAGGTGAGGCATAACAGCCCTGTCATGATAAGACAATGGGCTCTTATTTACTGCCTTTCCAAGGAGGGTCAAAATCATTTCACCTCTGATCATCTCCTGGAGGGAGTAACAAAAGCGGAACGGCAGGTATGAGGGGAGGATGTATAGTGCTGGAGTCGGCAGAGCAGAGCAGAGCGGTGTGTATGTGGATCCCCCTGTGTGTTCACAAGCCGTGCCTCATTGGCTTGTCCTGCAACAACGTCTTGTCAGGGTGCAATGTGTAAGTACAAAGGCGCAACAATGACATGACAACGTTTCATCACTGTTACTGAACAGCAGTATGGAAGAGGCTAATGTAAAAGGGGTCAAGAATAACACTAGGAAAGTACATATTGCCCTTTTAACACACAAAAACTAACCATTTACCATACAAAATAAAATCATCTGGACCAAGTACATTAAGTGTGTGTGCTGCCTTTGAAATAAACTATTGAATATAGCCCCAATACTAATTCTGAAATCAGTTTGTCAGATAATTCTCAATGAAACTCATATTAGATCTCAAGGGCAAAAGCACAGGTTCGAATACTATCATCAGTTACTTTGGAGGAGCCAGGCTCTGGTCACTGAGTCCATAATGATGTTAAATCTAAGTGTTACCTTACACTCTAGTCTAAAGAGTGATTGTATATGAAACAGTAGCTTTGAATTGGCATGCTACTTCACTGCTATTCCTCAGATTTACAGGAGCAGTTTGAACAGAAAGTCCCATGAAATATGATAATCAATAAAATGTGATTCCTACTTATACCTACAACTCCAGTGGTTCAGCTGTCATCTTTACTTGTTTTTTTTTTTTTCTGTGAAATTTGGCATCTGTCATGATAAGACAAATAATCTTTATTGACGATACTATATATCACACGAATTTAAGGGCATGAGCTCATTTTCCATGAAATGTATTCATCTTTGAAGCAGTTGACAGCAGTTGGTATTGATCTATAAATAAGATAACTAACCTGGGGTCCCTAACAATAACTGCTTAGTGTGATATTTTAAAACGTGTGCTAAAATTTCTTCTCTTGCCTTTTGTGCTCACAAAAAAGTCAGAGAAGCTTGCATGTCATTAACCAGAGAGAAACAAATACTCACTGAGAGGAGAAACACACATCTATCCTCAGGAATCAATTAGCAACAACAAATTAAAACTCAAATGCCAAAAGGGTTATTTGTTGAGTCAGATTCAGTTGGGGGGGGGGGGGGGGTGCAAACAAATGGGAGTGAGGTGGGGTTAGAGGCCTCCATCTATTTTCTTAACAAATTTGAAGGGCTTCGGGTGATTTTGTATGTATGAGTTTGTGTTTTTATGTAAGAGAGTAGTTTGTTTTGTTTTTCTGGATGGAGAATTTGCTGAGTAATATTTCAGGGCAGTGGAAGGGGAAAAAATGTGGTTCCTTAAGTGTCCACCTAAAGCCAAGAAGAGCCTAAGACCCACAGTCCATACGAAACTTTGCACATATTTACAAGCTGCATTTGGTCTGTCGGAAGTTGTATCTGTAAAATATGTATTGGGGTTAATGTCCAATTTTGTATCAGCATCCCTTTGACAATTAGACAGCTGACAGAAATACATAGATGTGCATGATAAGGAGCATGGCCAATTTAATTGACAGGTCGGCCTATTATCTGTACTTAAGATGTAGATAGAATATGTTCTGTATGTGTAAGGTGACTGATTGGTCACATTTGCTCATATTCAATAAGTAAACATGTTGGGACACAGGAGAAAAGTGTGCCCCAAACAACAGTACTCACCAGCAGCCAACAGATGGCAGCAGTATTGGTCCATGCCTTATAACTTACTGTTCTGAGTCATTAAACCTCAGTGCTAATTTAGTCTTTCACCACTTACCACAAGCAAAGCAACACTGTCATTTAGCTGAGCAGACAGAAAGAAAGGCCATTCAAATGAATTCAACACAGTTGTAGTTCTCATACTATGACAGGGACTTAAATTTGAAAAACACCACAATGTACCAGGGCATGGTTTTCTTTAGCTTATTCACCACTTTTATCATTTTCACAGCCAAAACTCTAACTAAGTCATGGTAATCTTCTTCTACAGTAAAGCTACAAGCACAATAATTGAACAAACGCAGATGCATTCACCTTAGACTTAAGTTTTTATTTTTTTTATTTTTTTTCCACCTGTGCTTCTTATACTTTATTTTCATCTCCTCTTCATTGCTGTTGACCCTTTAAATCAGAGAGACAGTAGACAGGATATTAATTCGACTCTAGCTTTGTTTCAACTCCTGCAGTTTCCCCTATAATTTAATCAGACCTTGTGGTTTGTGTGTTTGTATTTGTGTGCTGGACCGCTCACCATCGTGTTGAAACTGAGCTGTTTGGGCAGGATGTTGCTGCAGGACAGGCAGTCTGTCTGGCAGTCACTCTGTACGGGATGACACAGACAGAGCAGCAGCAGAGCCAACACAGTCTTCATGGTCCTACCGGCTGCTGCAAGACAAAGTGCAGAGCAAATACACACATCAACGTCAACAACACGCTTTAATGCGTCATACTCATAACATGGTTTATCTTTTTGATTCTGTAATGCAGTTAGGTCTGACTGGAGCACTTACGCTTTCACTTACTGTGCAGTTTGAAGGATATACATAAACAAACTGGACTTTAAATGCCAGTGTAACACTAAAAATATACCAAATCTGCGTCAAATTCAGGAAAATACACAGAAACTGGAAACTCTGATTTCTGGATTATTGTCACAAGACCTCTCTTTGGACCTACTAATCAAGGATGAAAAAAATCAAGGTCTACCATTCTTGGTCTTTAAAAACAGAACAGTAGTAGTGGCCTGATAACAGTATGTCTCAGCAGTAGGGCTGACCGAACAAATTAATGACACACAAAAACGTCTTTGGAGCTTGGCACCAGGACAGTAAGCAAGGCAAACAGGAAAGCTGATAAGTCATTGTTGTAACTTTGCTTGCAAAATTGTAATGCCTCCAAACAAAAGCTTAACTCAGCAAAAAGTTACAAAAGCAACACATAACTTCAGCAATATATTTGCTGACTTTGCACCAAATGACAATTAAAAAGATTTTCAAAGTCACATACTCATTTCCAAACTCTTAACAAACTTCTGAGAGTTTTGTTTGTGCTCATGTGATCTTGTTCATGTGGAGTAAGGTGGTCATAACTCGATCAGAACTGTTTATATAGGTAGCCTATTTTTCTTAGCATTACAATAAAAGCAACATTTTTAATGTTATTCTCGTCTCAAAGCAAATTATATTGTACAGATAAAAGGTGAACTCATGCTAGCACCTAACAGGAAGCTGAAAACTAGCAAAACATGCTTGCTAACCACTGTCTCCTGAGACTATGAGTCTTGCTGTATTTTTTCAGTTTCCTGCAAACTGATTGTAAGGATGCCTAGCCCAGGTTCACACTTGGGAGAATAGAAGGTCCACATGAATGATCGTTTTGACAAGGTTTACTGGTTGCAGATCATGCAACAAGTGTAAGAAAGTCTGGTTTGAGACTGTTCAGGTATATATATGTTTCCAAGCATTCTGCTGGCATTTAGTTGACCTGAAGAAGAGTCCATGTAGGGTAATAACAAAGAACAACATATTTTAAGGAGCCTTAGTTAAACATATGGAGAGCCCATATAGGAGAATACCATAGCACAACATATTCTGGGAACTGAACCTGTGTACAAGGTCCTTGTTGAGGATGGTTGTTGGAGGCCCGTGGCTCCAGGAATCTAGCACCAACATATCCATGGTATCTGAGTTACAAACCTCCACCACCCTAAAGGCTGATGGGATTGGCTGAAGAAAATTCTCCTAACACTGATCATGAAAGAATTACTTATCAGGCTTTCCTTTTATTTATTTTTTCCTGCATTGTAACACTGTGCTTTTAATTTGAAATAAATGGTACTTCTGGTAGGTCTTTAGTTAAGAACTCAATAAAAACTGTTAAAAGAACAATAAGAAAGTATGAATAATCAACTCATTAGAAATCCCAAAAGAAATAAGCTCTGAAGTTGTTGTCAGGTTTACAATATATTGTTAAATTGTAATGTTTTGAAATTGTCCAATCAACTCTCAGAATGCTGTTACCGCTACCTCGCTAGCTACTGCTGCTTTGTCTTGTCTATCTGCTTTATGCCGCCAGCAAAAATGACCACTGCAATGACCTTACAGTATTCGCACATGCTTATTTTAAACACAGTATCAGTATTTTATTATTTTAAAAAGATTGTTATGTGATACCAGTATATTGCAACAGCCCTGAAGCAAGTCTGGAAATGTATGGGCATTTGTATTAAGGACTCTGAAACTGGACAGAGAAAATAAGAGTTGGAAAAGGAGAGGAGCCGTAGAGAACAGCAGGATGGAAGCACGAATCAGAGAGACTTGGAGAGTCAACAGAAGAGAGGGAAGGAAAAAAAAAAAGGATTTGACCTTATTCTGGTGGGAACAGCCCAGTCTGGTGAGTCTGACGTCAGAAACACGACCAGAGTTTTCATCTCATTAAGCAAACTCGTTAACTCCTTTAATTGATGCCTCAATTAACACCGCTGGCAACAAACTGAGTCATTGTTTGTTTCTGACAAACATACACATGCTCAAAAACGTGCACAATATACACACACACACACAGCAATCAGACAGACAAGGATAGCTCAACACAAACACACAAATACAACTAAACACACACACACGCCTTATCCAGACACTGTGGGTGCCCTCTACACAGCACATTCATAACACACTTTTCTACATTGCTCCCTTACCTTTAGGTTGTCATTATCATTTAAACTAATTTGGCAGAAAGTACAATTAATTCATTTTCATTCAAATACGTCTTAGAAATTGGGAGATTTATTCAGAGTAATTAAAAACTGATAAAAGTGTGATTGCACTTCAGTTCAGTCCAATCCCTTTAATAACAGCTCTGGTAAAACTAATGAAAATTAATCATTATTTATCTTCATTAATCAGTTTAGGGGTTGGAACAATAGAAGTGAGTGTTAGGACTCTCTTCTTCCATTTGTCAGTGAAGGACAACAGAGCAGCGTTATGGGACGGCTTTGGGCGGGACCAGATTAACAGATGGAAGTAGATTTAGTTAGACAGCTTGGGCGTGTTCATTTAGTCAAAATGTGTCTCCTTTCTCCATCTTCTTGTTATTGACTCTTGGCTTAAAACATTATCTGCCATCATTAAGGATCATGCATGAAGGAGACTTCACATCCTCTCCTCTCTGTCTTCTAATGAGGCGTGACCAGAGGACACGTACACACGCTGCATCTTTGTTTGGAAATGAATTAGGACAAACAAATCCAGTCATTTAGGTCTGCAGCCATGCTTGGCAACGTTGAAAACATGGATTTAATCTCTATGGAATCGCTCTTTGTAGCTTTTATGCATATGTATACAGAGGTGGGACAACCATAAGTTCACTCATTTTTATGGGAACCTATATGATATTAGATATGTCCGCAAAACTCCTCCACTCTGTCAGCTTTTGGTCCTGAATTTGTGTTGAGTTTGTTAAAAACACCCAACTTTCAGGGGAGATTTTGGAGCCTATAAGACAGCATTTTCGTCAAGCTATCAGGCTGCCAACTAACTTACAGAATATATCATTCAGTTCAGTGCTTATGTTGATTTTTGGGTGAGTTTGTTTGATTAAATGAAACTTCATTTACTTTTGATATACTGTGAATCTGGGAAATGTTGCTCTGTTTAGTTTGACCACACACGAGACAGTTTTAGGCCTAATTTATAGCTTCATTTGCCATTGAACACTATCAGGGTGGGGCCTGATTCAATGCTTGTCTTAACTGTTTATTTGTCCAAATAAATGGTATATATCAACATGTGTTTGGCAATGAAGACCCTAGTCTTACTGTCTTACTGCTCTTAAGTAGAGGGACACACTGAGACGTCACCAACCAGACATTGCATTCTATACATCTCAGAAACATGAAAGTGAACATTTACGTAACAATGTCCTTAACCAAATGGTATGTATGCTTTCTTTTCTGCTAGGGTTTTCTCATTTTCTCAGTTTTTTTTTTTTTTGGTTTTCATTGCAAAATAAAGCACCAGGACAAATAGCTGATGATTCTTGTTCTCGGAGCCTCCTTTCTTGTATCCTGGAAAACAATGACCCCAAAGGCCCTCCCAAGGAAAATTTGGCTTTTTAATCTTTTTTTTTTCACAGAAAAAACTGTCCAACAAGTGTGTCACAGAGTCTTATTCAGTAAGTTAACCTAAATATTCAATAAACTCAGAGCAGATCTCTGGCACCTTCCTTAAGGGAGTTCAGACCCCTGGCTGCGCACCAAAGTTTTTGACCTTTACCTTTATAAAGTCATAACTTTGAGAAAATTCAAAAACCAATGTTGAACCTGGCTGCAAAAGTTTAATTCTGCTGTAAAAATGGCCATTAAAATGAGGGAACTCATGGGGGCTGGCTTTTGGAGTCTCCCTCAAGTGGACACTGGAGGAGCTGCAGCTTTTGTACTTTGCGTCATTTGATTTTGCATTACAACACATTGAATGTCTCTTTTAGCAGCTGGCAGTTCCATACAGTGTAATAAAAACTTTGAACTGAGTGGAAAAATAGAAACTACTGAGTGTGTTATATTTCTTTGTGCCCACACCACAGTACAATGATGCAGCAGCTAGGTTTCCCTGTTAGTATGTTATTTAACCTAACAGTACAGACATAAACCACAAGCTTAACACCTTTGCACATGCACAGTGCAACAACAATTTCTTTATGTGAGACATAAGTGCTTCTCTAGACTTCTGTTTTAGTTTTTTAAATTCTCCACCTCAGAATCCATACTGGAATATCTCCATCTCCAGTGATTTAAAGCTCAATTTACATGGATTAGGCCAGAATGCACAGTACAGCAATGTTCTTAGAAATGTCCACATTGGTGTAAACATTTGACAAGTGTCATCAAACAGTTACTTAAAAACAGATTTTTAATTCTCCTTTCATTGTAAGAGTCCAAAATACTGCCTATATGGGCACTAAAAGCATGCAGTAGCAATAATATTCTAAAAAAAAAGACATTGAACATAGTGATATAAAAGCAATGATCCTTTAGGCTGGTTCAGTCCACAACAGCACTGGTTTTGTCAAATCAGAGAACCAGACAAACCAAATAAATGTGCTTTTTGAAAGTAAGTTTTTGACTTTAATCATTATTCTATTTAAGAATTACAAAACCAATGGTACGCACAATACATCTACCTTATTGTAATGCCCTGTGTTAGCTGCTGAATGAGAAGACTGAGCTGAAATAAGAAGATAAGTGTACAAAAAAGTTAAACTGACCGTAGTAAACATGAACCCCTGATGAGTGCACTACAGGCAGAGGAAAATGTGTTGCACCAATTAACAGAGCAAATATGAATGAGCTTTAATAAAGCTTATAATTTACCCAGATTGGTGTTTGCCTCAGACTTTCATTAAATAAGCTACGTTGCATGGTTGAGTTTACCCTGTCTGCAGCAGTTGAAAGCCTACAGGTCCTTTCACACCAGGACCGCTTTTTACGTGCGATTATTTCGGACGTCAATATCTTTTTTCGAACCTGTATCCTGTCAATACAAGCGTTCACATCAGCGACATTTTGCCGTCCTGCCATATTGCAGAATTAATTTTTTTGGATCATGGTCAATTTTTCTAAAGTTCCGCATACTGTGTGTCCACTTCTGACCAATCAGATTGTGTTTTGTTGCAACGTCTGATTCACCGGTATATCCAACATGGCCGACCGGCTGATTGTTTATGTGTCGGAGAACAGAGTGCTTTTTGATAAAAGACACAAACATTACAAAGATAACAACCTAAAGGACAACTTGTGGAGAGTCATAGCGTCGGATTTCTCATATGATGATGGTTTATGTGCTTTAACAGTTTGCTAAACGTCTTTGTTTTAACTTTCATCTGTGCTAAGTAACTTTAGCTCATAAGCTAACCTGTTCAGATACAACTTACCATATGTATTTTCACTGTCTCAAACTCAATCGCATTGCTGTCACAGCACCGTTTGGTCTCAGTTGTTACCTTACGTTTTTGGATTATAATTTAATGTGCTTATCTGCTACTGGCCTTGACTCAGTAAATACTTTCTATAGTCCAGTAGAATAGTATGCTACATGCTACAGAAAGCCATCTCAACACTAGTGTCTAATCAGAACTGAAAAACAGTCAGTCTGCTGTCGTGTCAATCTTCTCGCTTCCACCCGGAAAGCCGCAAAATCGCACCGGGCTTGATCAGGCGCGTTGATCAGTCAGGCGCGTTAAAATTCTCCTTCAAATATTTCGTAATTCCGTGCTATATTTACGTTGGCGGTGGTGTGTAAGGACCTTACCTCCCTGTCTGGTTCTCTGGCTTATTAACAAAGTGGTCGCGCTAACCACTGCGGGTTATAGGACTACAACTGACAGGTACTTACAGCCTCACCCTAAAATGGCACTGGATGATATAGTAGGGGACCATCAGTATTATCCAATTCTATTCATACACATTCACACTGCTGACTCAGCAGGAGCAGTTTAAGGTCAGTGTATTGCCCACGGACACTTTGGTATGAGTGTTGGTGCTGGGACAGAGCAGCCAACCTCCTGATTAAAATAAGACAGTCTCTGGCCACATCCCCAAGTTAATTTTTTCCTAATTATATTATATTATGATCAGTCTCTATTTTTTACTTTCCTATTTAATACGTAAAACAGGATACATGCAGCATGGCTACAGTCACTCCAGTCTGTCTCAGATTATCTGATGTGCACACAAAGAGGTTCATACGCAGGTACGCAACCTAACACAGTCTTTATCTGTTTCCTGTCTGTATAGTTCTGTACGTAGAAAAACCCTCTTGAAAATGGACAGATTTTTCCTGTGGTCTCTCACTGACGTCTACCAGGTTCTCTCTCGAGAGCCTTTAAAACTCAATCACTCTGCTTTTAATTAACTGATTAACCACTAAATAAACCAGTTAATTAAGTCATTACTGTCTGCTGCAGCTCAGAGGTGCTGCTGATGATGGAGGTCTTACAGTCCAGGAGATAATGATAGAGGAGCAGCTCTCAGATGGAGGGAACCTCCTGTCCAATAAACGTTTCTCTATAGTATCAGGATCAGCGTCTTAACACCGGGGTGAGTTTGTGCCATTTGTTTTGCTATTTAAGAATCGAAATCACACTTCGACAAAGGAGTGACCAATAAAGGTTATAGTAAGAGGTGTAAAACATGAATGGACTGTCTAAAGAGAGGCCTTATAAAATCAGAACAGCATGGGTTCTGTCTGTCTGTCTCTTTGGAAAGTGTCAAAAATAGTGACCATCTCCATGCTGCTGATTTAAGGGTATTCTTAGTCATGAATTTATCCTGTTAAAATTAAGAGGCGTTCAACTGTAAACTCCAGTCTAAATCGTGTCATCCAGCAGCTTGTGACTCACTCGACTTCAAACTCCTCAAACTCCTCACGCTGCCTTATCAACTGTTTCCACCATTATTTTCCTCCATTATTGCCATTTTCCAATCAGGAGCAGGAAGTAAAAAATAAATTACTCTGAGGCTGAAGAGAGACTTAAAGCCGGATTATTCACGCGCGGTTGAACGGAGGAGAAGTCTGCATCCTTCTTAGCGATGCTTTATTTTTAAAAGCAGAGATGGAGATTTATTATGACACTTAAATGTACAATATTGTCAATTTCACAGCAGCACATCATGTACCTGGCTGTTACTTCTCTGACTTTGTAGGAAGTGTACGCACAACTGCTCGGACATTTGGACACAGTGGAGTCACACAGGGAAGCAGAAAGTGGCCTTCATAACGGAACTTGTCTCTCATTGCTTATATTATATGGCAGTATGTGATCAAGAATCACTATATGCTGCAAAAAAAACCTTTTTATTCTGTAACAGGCCATGAAATGAATAAACACAAAGAGAGGGTAGTGGAGTCAAGAAAATTTAATCTGTCCCAAGGTTTGAGAGATTAAAGCTACAATGAGGAACTTTTATCTTCTCCTCTGCCTGCTCAAGTAGTGTCTTCTGACAAAAATAGCGTCCTGATGACTTTTGACACTCAGATATTTGACTTGTGAATATTTCAGTGCAAAAACATAGCTTTTATTCAGGCTGCTCAGTTGACACCTGCCCCCTGTGCTTTCAGAAATTAAAATGACCAAATAAAAGTTGTCACATTCTTGTCACTGACAGTCTTATCTGCTGGTGTTCGTCATAAAAAGGCTTCTTCATGAATTTAAAAGTATTTAAATAACATTGAAAACTCCCCAAAAGAGCTTTAACCTATTTGCGTTTTTTAAAGATTCATATACATCACCGACTTGAAATCATGAATATCAAACATGTTCAATGTTCACAATCTGATGTCCATCGTCATGTGAAACAAATGGTAGCCAATCAAGAGGCAACCTGACTGAAGAAGGAAGCCTGATAAATGCAGCCATGGCAACGACAGTAAACAGAAAGCATAAATGAAGCATTAACCAGTCTTGTTTGACCAAGAGAATTTTATAAAATTCCTAGATGTGACAGTCAGTACTTTGGTTGCTGGTGAGAAGAAGCTTTATCTGAGGTGTGTGCTGTGTTTGCCACAATGTTGCACACCACAAACCACAGGGACAAAACTGTCACGTCTGGTCTCATATGTCATCATGTGTGGGGGTCTCTGATATTTTCACAATCAGTTAAGATTAAAAAATCTTAAATAAAAGATGAGAGGAATAAGAGCTACAACAGCACGTTGGGCGTCTTCCATGTGAATCATAGAGGGAAAAACTCCCTCTTCACACACCGAAAACCACAGGATCATCTGGCTAAAATCAACATGATTGTCTCGTTTTGTGTACCATCCTTATGCTCAACAATTCATCGTCAATGAGGAGAGCTTGGTGTTGGACCTCTGCTTAAATCATCAGTGTTGACTTAAAGAGACAAAACAGCTGCCAGAAATCACAGTCATTCATTACATCCCCGTATTGAGAGTTCTCTTGTTAACTACTGTATTACATGAGATTATCAGCACAATGTAAAATCCACTCATGTACTGCTTCCCCATTTTACCTGTGAGCCCATAATAACACTGTTTCTGCCACACAACTAAAAACTTGTGGCTCAGAAGGGATCGACAACTGCATAATAACTGAGGGTGATTTTTTTCATTCTACAATTTTAAAAGATAAGAAATTACTTTTTCAAATCATGTCCACATCTGACTTTCAGGTTTATTGTTATTAATGGTATCTTAAGTTGTATGTTTAAAATGCCAATAAATTACATTTTTAACCCTTTTTTTCATTCATATTCTCTATAACTCTATACAGCTATCTCAGTACTGTCTTCAATCAGGGGTGAGGTAAATGTGATGTTTTTTTATGACAACTCGCTTCATCTCGTGTTAGTATGTCACAGTGACAGACAATCAGAGCACTCTACAAATGTCCAAAGTGTAAACAAAAGAGGAATAATGAAGCTGGTTTGATGGGACAAAATTATGAGATGAAAAAGTTTGTGGAGCTTTGGCAGCAACACCCCTGCCTTTAAGATGAGTCATTGAGAGGTGACTACAATAGACAGCAAAAAAGAGACATGTTTGCCAGGAAAAAGCAGACACACTCCTACAGCTCTGTGAGTAACTCCTGTTAGCTTTCTTAGGTATCGTCTAGCTCTGCCTCTCTTCCCTTCAACAGCATCACAATGGGTGTGGTGACTGGTCAGGTACCATCATGATGTCTACCATGTCTGGAGATCAACCCATGCCAAATCTGATGCAGTGACAGTGTCTGATCACAGCACAAAGTGTAAGCAGTGCTGTAACCTCATCCTACATCAGAAATGACATTATCTCAGATCCAACCTTACACTCAGTTTTCCCTTTATTAAATCAACAAACTCTTGAATTACACAGCCAGAATATTGTGCTGTGTTTATATCATTGTATTTCAGTCTAGTGTTTTAGGTTTTCATGCACCTTACTGGTAATACTGAATATTTTTGATCACACTGTACATGATCATGAAAAGGTCAAACTTGAGTCAAGAGTGAAAAATAAGCAAAAGCTGTCGACTCTCTTTGCAGATCTTCAGTTTTCAACTCTGTGATTTATGTTTAATTGAACTGACATTTGAAAAACACAAGCCTGACTGTGTGTTCTGATATTGTGTTAACATGACAATATATCAATCAGGGTTTTTCCAGACCTAAGTTGAATCTACTTAAAAGGTCCGTGTATCTCCAACTCCTCCAGTCGAGGTCAATATAAAACAGTGTTTGTGCTTCTTTCAAACAACTCTATGACTCTTATGTATTGAATTTATCTATAACATTTTAGAGGGAATCTGTAAATATGAAATATGAACTGGTATAACTAATGATCTGGTAAACAATGAAAACAAACTTACTCTGCATGTCTGCATAATTATCAAATAAAGTGCGGTTTTTAATTAGGGCGCTGTGTTTTAAAGTGACGAACAATAACTTCCCACTGCTAAAAGAGAGAGTGCCCGGCATATTAAAGACAACAAACCAAATAATGAATGAATAGAGTGTATTCATGATGTTGGCTTTGTTCGCTGATGAGTCACTTTGACAGGTAATTAAATGTTATTTAGTCTTCTGCCTGGAGCCTCACAGAGGACTACTTTATCTGTCAGGAAAGTCATTTTGACTGACAGCTTGTCTCAGGCCCACTCAAAATACAATGAGCTCCTTTGTTTTAACGTTGATAGCTTAACTGGCAAATGGCAGAGTGGACATAGATGTGACACATTTTAAGACAATAAGATCTATATTACTGATCAAGTTTGTAAAAATATCCAATCATTATATTAACTTTCTCTCGGAGCAACATTTTACCTGTCTACGCACTGATGTATACGTCAATACCTGCACATTTATTTCTATTTCTTTACGTCTCACTTGCACCCACTTCTTCACCCACCTTTTCCCTTTCTCTTCTTTTGTCTAACACTTAATTGCCTCTCTTACATAATTTGAACGGGACAAAATCAGTACTAAAATGCACAAGAGGCTTTATTTACTGGTGTCACAACTGGATTCAATTTAGTGAAAAGTAATACACAATTTCATGCTTATTTTTTTTACCTTTGAGCATTACAAACAGCGTGTTGTACATTTTAAGTTGGCAAGTGGTTAATATTCTGAGTTCATTAAGGATGTAATATTTTGAGTAGATACTATTGATTTAATACAATGTTTACAGTTAAGTCTATATTTTTGTCATGTCTAATTGGCTAATTGCTTTGGGGTACCACTCTTAATTTGTTCTGGCGTACATATTCTCATTCATGTATGCAAATTTGTTACTAAAGGGTATACATAATACATTTATGTATACAAACCATGTGCAATTTTAGACACACATCTGCTAGTGCAATCGTGTGCTATAGGCATCGTGCAATTCAATTAAATCTTGCACTGTACCGTGCATCGTGCAATTCAATGTAATTTCGCACTTATGCACTCGTCATTTTAACAAGCTGTACTGTAGCAAATGGCACTTGAAACACACATGATACTTTAATTAGCACGTTAGCACTTTCCAATTCTCTTTTAATCTTTTTGGTCCCCTTACTATTGATCACTTAGTTTTTGGTCTGTGTACGTTGTATATGTATTTTATGAGTATGTTGTCAGTGCATTGTTTTACTGTCTTAGTCATGTTGTTTGTACATTTGTAACATTATTGCTTTTATGTTTAACATCAACCTGCACATGGGACTGGGGATGGAAATTAGCCAATTGGCTGTAATACCACATATTTACATGTAAATCTTCATCAATATGTACTGTTCCCATTTTTAAAAAAAAATACAAGAAATAGAAATGTAATTTAGTTTTTAAAAGTATCGTTCAGTTAAATCATTTAATTGTGAAAAGACATATATATAAAGTTAGAGGAATTTAAAAAAAAATAGATTGAGCTTGGAGTAAAGATTAAGTCAACCAACCACATATTTATTTTAAATTAAGTGTAACTCAAAAAATTTATCAGCATAATTTAAAAGTTCTTATGTAATCTGTTACAATAAAAAATTTGAGTTTTCTGAACTTGTTTGGGTTTACAGTGTGATACTCATGCATCTGCCTTGTTTTCAAGTATCACACTGTAACCTTAAATAAAAATTATTTCCAATCAAGAAAAAGAGATATGTGTAAACCCTTTTACCTTCAATTATCATTCTTTCCAGATTACAGAACACAAAATATCTTTCCAACCAGTGGCAGCACATCTGCACGACCACAACAGTGACCAAAAATCCTGTTTTCCTTCCTGATCCTGCTCGCTGCCTCCTGGTCATAGCTTGCATTTGACTTTACAAATATATCTTTAGAGTGGGCGTCATCACCTTTGTGAGGCCAAAGGAAACCTTTAAAAGAAACCATCAGTGCTTTCACAAGATGTCCCCTGTTGGTGTGACGTCGCAGCAGAGTCATTACAGGGAGACACGCTCCTGTAAATCAATTTACCCTCCCAATGCATCTAATCATTTAAGGTCCATTAATGGATGGGAGATGTTCATATACATCAAGGCAAGGGTCATTTCAGACCTTTATATATTGATTTTCATGTGGTATGAGTAAAGATGAGAAATTATAACCTTCAGGCATCTTTTTTTACCTTTTGATCCTACCTGCACAAAACTGCCATTTACTTGCTTGAGCTCCATTCTTCACCCTCTATTTCTCTAATATGACTCATAGACCAAACTCATAGCCAACAGGTCCTGCGTCAAGCCCAGGTGTATCCAGTAACAACACTAATGGGTGCATTCAATCCAGGTGTGCAGTGACACTAAAATTGGTGCTATCAGTTCTGTTATTACACCTCCTGCTTTCACTAGTCAAAACAAAATAATGGTATATTGAGTTTTCCAAAAGAAAAGAGCTGTGATGTGATAGTTTTTCTTTCCAGATCTCTGAGTTCCGTCGAACAAAAATCAAAAAATAACTCAACAACTGGACAGCTTAGGGCTAAAGGTGGGGTTTTTAACTTTTGGTGTTTGCTGGACTGTGACACAAAGATTTGACAAACCCATTTATTCTGGTAACAGTTTTGTTCAATCATTTCACTCAGGACCATAGGCCGTCTGCCATTTTTAGGGTTTTACTATGTGGAGCAAAAGTGGTGTTTTTGAAAGGATGATATCCATCATTGTGCTCCTTGTTTTGAATGTATCACTAGCCACTAGAAGACAAAAGGTAAAATTCAAGTACTGACCAAAACCACAGTTCTGTCAGAAAAGTGCTGTTTGTTGTCTTCTTATATTATCAAATGGTTTTATTGAATGCAGCTTCCAGCGTAGACTAATTCATCTTTAAACATTGTGTATTTCCCTCTGAATTCTCAACAATATGAATCATCTTCTCAGTCTGATCTTTCCGAAAGCACCAAGACTAGATCACATTCCCTTCGTTTAAAGAAGTCTACAGTGTGTAAACATGTGAGTTTATATCTAGCAACCAGAATCTAGATTGAAATACCCCCTTGCTCACCCCCTCCAAAGATGGCAGCTATCCATTCAGATTCTCTGCCTTCATGTTGTGGCCCCGACTCCTTTTGGATGGAAGTTTCCAATCTGAATTAACTTTGGAGCAAAAGCCAACTCCACGTTTTTGTTAATCTAGTAGTTTAAAACTGCACTAATTAATGGCCAATGAAAGCTTAAATGTAATGACGGTGGGCAAATAAATAAATCATGACTTTTTTTAATCAGCAATTGGTGACGTAACATTTTTTAAAAATCTTAGTTGTGATGGACATAAAAACTCGTAAAGATTTCATTTAGATTTATTTATTTACAGTTTATTTCAGTCATTTTGTAGTGGGCACATTGCTTTCATATGAGATTTAAGTTGGGAATCGCTGTGATTAGCCCACTTTGGCTTTGTAACTAATACAGTAGCAGCCCACAGCTTTTGCTGCTATAGAGCGCGACACTTGAAGAAACACTAATTACCACTACATTACAGCCCTGTATGGAGCAAGATATTCATATTATCAAGATGGATAACTTAAACTCAGACCCAACTCAGGTAACACAGTTCAAATACACACATAAGGGTGTGACATCAGTTTATAACACCTCCACTCACAGTATGTGGTCATTTGTCCAGTTTGATGGAGGGAGATGAAGAGGACATTCACGAAAACCCCTCAACTTTGAACTTTTTTCCTATCTCATCTCATCAATCTGATAATAAAAATAAAATGATAAATGATAAAAATATAATGTGTTTGCCTTTCAGGCCAATAGATCTGGGCACTTTATAGCCAATAAATAACACTATAACTCTTGTATCAGGGTGTCAAATTCTCACTCTCATTCTGCTGATAAACCGAGCACACATTGCACTGAGCTGATAGAACTTCAGTATAACGGCAAACTCAAGGCACAGTATGACTCTGTGGGGCCCACACAGTTCCCACTCCTCATTCCTGACACAACGCCCCAGCTCTGCTTACAAACAAATTTTTCACATTTGAAATACTCTCATTTTCTTTGATGTTACTGTTGAAGAAAAAAAAAAAAACTTTTCTTCAATTTTTTATGGAGAATGTAGTTCTAGTCTGGTTCTTCAAATTTGTAGCTCTGATTTAACATGGTCAGCTTCTGAATATTCATTTAATCCTGTTTGGCCCACAACTTAGATGGTATTTTGAATTTTGTCTCCCTCTATGATTGAGTTTGACACCTCAGCAATTTTTTATAATCTCCATTTGTCATGTGTAGAAAATGGCCTCAATTAATAATGGTCTCCTACAGTGTTTAATGGGATGGCTTAATCAATAGGACACACCGAGCTGCATTTCAAACATATTTGTATCCATGACAAATTTGGTCAATACATATTTTCTCAATTCTTTGTAACTAGGACTGCAGGAAAACAACTCAAGAAGCCTCCAGAGGAATAAAGGCCTCTCCCCAGTGGTTTTTTCCCCTCATGAGTCAAACTCTCACGTAATCAGCTGTGAAAAATAAACTGCATCAAGTGCATAAGGCAGGGGTCATTTCTGTAATTATATGAATATAAAGAAAAGGAAAGAAGATGTGACTTGGGTCAGCAAAGAAACATCTGTGAAACGCTCCCAGCTGAAAGGATGGACAGACCCCCTGCTGTGTGAGGAACATTGTATCCTTGGATTAACACCAGAGCTGCACACACCAGCAGTGTAACCTGTGATCCAACGCTCCTCCCATCTTCCATTTTACCCAAACAGCCTTTGAATGAGCGCTGTTTCCTAGAGTGAGGAAAGTTTATCCACAGGCTAATATGGGCTGTGAGTGAAAACCGGAAGGTCACCAGCACAACAAAATGAATCAAAGGGATTTCCAAGCCAGAGACACACAAGGCTCATAACGGATATACAAAAAAATGTGCAGTTTGGGTAACGAGTGTGTTATATGATTATGATGTTAATATTGCATCTTTTTTTACACATTAATCGTTAAATTTCACAATTTTTTACTTTTGAGGAAGTGTAGTAAGTGCCGCAATTATGTTTACATGCACAGTTAAGTCAAGCTGCAGCCATAGCTCAATTAGACATTTTAACTGGATGACTGTCCTTGTCCTTGTTTACCATGAAAGAATCAAATAAAGGGGAGTATCCACCTTCACGACAGTAGGTGGTGACATGCCTCTTTTCAGCATGTTTCAACCATAGACTGTATAAAGAATGGACACTGTCTGCCTCCTCGCTGAGTAAAGCCACCACGAGAACAGCACCCTCTGGTGACAGGCTGCAGTATAGGTCATAAATCCCGCCTCCTCCAGCAATCTCTATGGAGCTGTGGACAAACTTTAGAAATTAGTTTGTTTTTTTCTGTGCAGCTGTATTTTTAAAAGTTATTAAGGAGCTCATGTTTTCTATGATTGACACTTGATACAGCCTATGGGCATACGAAGATTGCATAGTTCACCCGGGGGATACGCTGTTTGAGTCAAGAGTCAGCATAGCAACTCTCTGGCCAAATGCGTACAATGCTACTGTGCAATGTTGGTTTCAGGGAGTGGAGAAAAAACCCGGAAATACCGAGAGCTTTTTGGCTTCAAATCCATATACTGGCAGAAGAAAGAACCAAGTTGTCCATAGTATTTACAGTCTATGGTTTCCACTGGGTCATCTCCTGTCTACATCATGGACCAAAAGGGATCAACAAACCTATTTACAAGTGATCAACTGGTCAGTGACTCTCCTGGTGTCACTCATGTGTCCTCCTGCAACAAGTGAGATCTTGTGGGATGTCAGAACGTCTCGTCTCAAACGAGATTTGTTAGTACACAGACAGGCACAAGTGGAAGGTAAGGAGAACCTTTGATCTGTTCTTGGGTCTTGTAATAATATTTTGAGCTTGTCAGTGGTGAAATAATGCACCTGTAGTGAACGCAGTCTGGCGATGCTCAATTGTCCGGTTAAGCTACTTCCTAGCTTGTGTTGCTGCTGCCAGCTGCTTTGCTCTCCCTCAATGCTGTGCCACTTCTAGACATTGTTCCCTCCATCAGTCAAATTCACACAAACACATGGGAAAATAGGGCCCAAGTTTAAACATCCCAAAGTTCCCCTTAAAGTTAACCAAAACTCTATAATTCAATCTCTTCATGGGTCTGTCTCAAAGGCAGTTTAGATTGAGTTTCTATGAATAAATTAAATTCGTGTCCACACCTCTTAAAAACAGCCTATGTAATCTATGTTGCTTCAAACTGCCGTCTTTGTCACAACATAAAAAAAACAGACTTTCTTCAATGCAATCTCCTAACATCTCCTATTGATAGGTCCTGTTAGTTTGTATTTTGGTGGATTCATTATGCTCAGGTGAAATAAATTATGTCAGTGAGAGTGGTTTTACTTTAGCGAAGAAAAAAAAAACCCAGAGACCTAAAACTTGTTGCTTTGTTAAGTCATCTAATAGTTTTCCTAATCAAGGAATAGTATGAATATTAGTACGAGTTTTCCTCAATCTATGAGGGGACTTGCACCGCAGGGTCCTGAACACTTTAGTTAAACTTTTCAGCACGAAATTCAATTACAGAATATATTGTTGTCTCATCTCTCTCTGCATCTTCTTCTTCTCCTGTCTACCCACGTGAAAATACAGCACCAACAGATGTTGCTTTTCATCATCCTTTTGCAACCCAAATGGGAAATATTTATCAAAATCTGAGGTTGTCATTACCACATATCTATCGCTCTGCACTGGGGTGTTTTAACATCACAAATTTACATTTTGCAGGTTTAATATCTCTAAAATTTCCGCATTTCAAACCCAGCAGAAGACAAAGTTGCTGCACATTTTCAAAGCTCCCAAAATCAGTTTCACATCACAGGAAGGTTTACACAGCATTACGTCAAAGCCAAATTTCATCAGGGCCACTATCAAAAGATCTGCACCAGCGTCGTCCTGCAGACGTCAAGTGTATATGCAATAATCAATTCCAGACGGGGCTTTAGTTTGTTGAGTTTATATCAAGGTTAAATCAAATGTGAGCCTGAGGCCAAACATTAACACAAATGCTAATTATTAGGTGTAAAAGAAAGGCATGACAGCTAATCTCAAAGTTGATTAACTTCGTTAAAATGTCACGTAAATGCCTTGAGGGAAATATTATCAGCAGGCGGTGCTGATATAGAAAAATACACACTGCAGCAACATTCATTAAAAAAATACAGTTACATTAATCTCTTTTAAGATCATATCCTCAAAAACGTTATTCTATTTTTTTTTTTACAGAGAACAACTCATACTGGTAATTTAAAAGACCATGAATGAGTTTCATCTTTTTTTGATTGAAGTTATTTTTATGGTGTGTAAATTCAGAGAGGAGAGATTGAACCATTTGAGTCGTGAGAAGTGGAGAAGTCTTCAATAGGCAGCATGTGATGTGAATTAAGGCTTTGAACCAGACCAGGACAACCCATTTAAATGCTGTCCTTAGCTTTGTGACTCCCTTTGTGATCTGTGTGTTCTGGGCTTTTCACCAAACTCAGTTATATATATTTACTGTGAGTCACCTTCTGAGATGTGATTACGAATATTATCTGATGTTAAATTCTATTATAAATCAACAAATAAAACCAAAATCCGCCTGTAGATATCTGTAACTCTCTGCCAGTGAGATAATATTATCCGTACTTCTCTTTTTTATACACTCACTAACATTCAAGATTTTTTTTCATTTGTCACCCTAAACAAGTATTTTTCTGTCAATGCATATTAAAACCCGCAAAAACAATCCTGACATAAAGCCTGACCCTGATGAACCAACATGCACTCACCCTACATACCCCTCATTACTCTGGGTCTTAAACCACACACACACACGCACGCACGCACACACACACACACACAGCAGCTTTCTGCCCCCTTCATTCAAAGAGCCCATGAGAGCCCGGCAGTAAATCAGGCCTCAATGATTAACGACTAATCACTCTGAACGATTTATGACCTTTCCTTTACATCAACACGCCACATGAAAAAAACAAACAGGTGAAGTGTACAGTGGTCCTTGGATGGAGAGACTTCACCTCCAGCTCTCTGTGGTGTGTGTGCATACATTATGACTGCATTTAAGCCTCTCAAGCATGCTTCATTTAACTCCTGTTGTAAGTCTAAAGCTGCCTCTTTAGAGGTGATACATTGATTATTCTAACAGCGCTGTTTGTCACTGAGGCCAACAGCAGAAAAAAGCTACGATTATTAGTGTTATGTAGATGTCAAGGGTCAGAGGGTCACAGCAGCGGCGAAACCTAAACCCTGGACTCCACATCATAGACAAGTAATGCAGAGTGCTGAGTAAAATTCAAGTGCTTTTCTTTACGTGCGGTCCCATCTTTAAATCTATGTCACTTAATACTGACATGAAGTGACTTTTAGAAAGATGCAACTCAAATGTTTCCTTCTGTCTCCTCTTTTTTCCGTCAATCCAACGCGATAAAACATCAGTGATTACTTCTAAGACAAAAAAAAGGATAATAACCCCACATTAAAGGTCAGAGGTCATGCTTTCTCTCACTCATCTCTGCAGGGTCTTCTTACCTGTTTGGGTCCCTCGGGTGCAGGTTGAGGTTTGTCAGCGTACGTTTCCTTTCCTCGGTCTCTGCGTGGATTTTCTGGCTACGTGGAGACTGGAGCCAGCCGTTCTTATAGAGACCTACCCCTCCTCCCCTTCAACCTCCCCCTCTGATTCCCCCTTCTCTCTCTCTCTCTCTATTTCTCTCTCTCTCTCTTTTTCAAAACTCCCCCCCTTAATCAGAGAGAGTAGGAGAGAGGGAGAGGGAGGGATAGAAAGCAGAAAAGAGGAGGGAGGAGAAAAATGAGGGGGAACAGAGAGGGATATGGAGCAAAGTGGAGGCAAAAGGAAGAAGTCTGATGGTAAAAAGACTGAAAAAAAGGACAGGAAATAGGTGGAGGATAAGAGATGAGGATGGAGACCAAATGTAAAAAAAAGAATTAAAACTAGAAGAGAATGATGGAGGAAAAGGGGAAGGAGAAAGAAAATTAAGTTTAAGGAGTGCTGAGGACATCGTCTGTGTGTTTGTGCGTCTGTGTGTGTGTATTGTTTGCAGGGAGGCTGCTTGTTTGTAAGAATTTCAATTTTTCATGTTTTCTGCTTGTGTGGTCATTCAAATAAATAATGAAACTTTGAATTATTAAAAAAAGGAAAGAGGTGATCGAACTCTACTGATGGACATGAACAACAGTAAGGAGAATGAGGAGAGACATTGTCTCTGGAATGATCTCATTCATCTCATTTTGATAATATTTACCCATCATGGTAATGAAGTGAATCTGTATAAATTTGTAACATCACTTTCTGATTGGAATAACCAGATTTGTTGAGTATACATAATTAATTCTAAACATTGTCACTCTCTGTGTTTGAGTACTTCTTTCTCTTTTACACTTTATTTTATCAGACTTTGGCCAAGTGACTGTATTTTACTGCTCTGTAACTTGTGATGTCTACAGACTTCATCAAAATCAAACTTACCCAAATCAAAAGTATTTTCTACTTAAAAGGACCTTGAGCAGTTTTCATGCAGTGTTGGTGATCTGGTGATGTCTTTGGATAAAACTGACAGTGTTTTTCAAAGATTCCCATATGCACCATCACCCATTGTAAAGATGGGGTCTTTCCAAAGCATTCCACTTGTTGTGGAAGCAAATGAATGAAACGCAGATCTGTTTTGAAACATGACTTTTCATAGAGGAATCATTTTGCAGGGAGCAGAGTGACATTACTGAACTACATAAATAGACTTAAAGTAACCTTACCATTCCCAAAACTTTGTCAACTGATTTATTATCATTTACAAAAGGGGAACAGACTTACCTGTTACCTGTTGATGTTATCTGTCATGACCCCCATATCATGAGGTGTGCTCCTGGTTTCAACAAATGCACATATCGTGTTTAGACACACCTGACGATGCTTCAAAGAAAGAAGAGGGGAAACATTCGAGGAGGTGGAAGAGAAAAGGGGTCAGCAGCAATACCAGAAGTGTCCAACACCGAACAGACCAATCAGAGGGCTTGCTGTCTGCACCAGTTCAATGCATAGTTTCATGTTTGAGGAGGTGTGCATTAGGTGACGTGTGGGTTTCTAGGAGGCTATGCCATGTAGGTTAACGGCGAAGCAATTACACATCACGCTGACTCAACTATGTAATCTTGGTCATTGTTTTTTTTTCTCTTATACCTCCCAAAATTGTAGTTGTAGAGTTTTGTCATCTGAAGCAACACTTCAGCAGAAAATGTATGCCCTATTTCTGCTCCAGCATCAGCCGAGTAAAACTCCAGCTCGCTAACTTTACTTCTTACCACCAATCTTTACCTGGGGAGCTCTCCACTGAGACACACTTTAGGATGAATGCCAATTATCTGCCCCAAAGACAGGTTCTGAAATCCAGTTTAAAGAAATGACCAGTCTTGTTTGTGATAAACACATTTCACTTTGAAAGGCACGAAAAGGCATCAGTGAAAAAGCGTGACCCTCTTTTAAAATCAGTTAAAAGCTCCTCACAGGTTCTCTCATCTACTTTTTTGTACGTGTCGCCTCACGGTGTTTTGATGTTGAGGTTTTTGCCAAATCCCCTTAAATGAATCGAACGTTTTTTCCTCATGTTAAGCACTCTGAATGATCTCTGTGTTAAAATTTTATTGTACAAATAATGCATCTTGCTTTTAAGTGCTCTCTGTGTTAAAAAGTCTCATTTGCATACATCTGTGTACCTGCTGTTTAAAGTTTCAGCCTCAGGCTTTAAGAGTAAATTACAAACTGGTCCAGATTGAGATGACATTAAATTGGCTGTGTACCCGAAACCAGGTGAGTGTCTCTTCAACAGGTGAATATGAAACAGCCCAGACTTACAAAGAAGAAGTCAACAAAATACACCTTTGTAAACTAACAATAGTGTTCAGTGCAGCTTCTCTGCGAATTTTAACACATTTTTACACACACTACGTAGACAGGCGTCATACATTATCAATGACCCGGGTGGGGAAGTCTTTGCAGTTTCAGTCAAATAATTCTACATCTCTTTTAACATTGAACAATTCCTAAAAACACTTAAGTAATCCTGCATATCTAGTGCAGCATAAACTATTACCTCCCTGTTAAAAGCAAAGCAAATGACATCTCTGCATTCACGTTCAGGGTGTTTTGAGGAGAGGTTGGAGGACATGTGACTGTCACTCCTCCACCGTGTTGTGGGAGTGACAGTCACATGTCCTCCAACCTCACTTCAGGCATTGGCAGGACTGTATTACTGTCACTCTGCTCATAAATAAATAAATAATCATTGCAGAAAACAAAAGAATCACGACGAGCTCCAGAGCGCCTTATTATGCATTTCCGTCCGGCCTTCATTATACTGAGGATGCCTTCTGTTTTACTCTGATTAGGGTTACTCCACTTCTGCCATGCATTTCGGTTTCCTGCACGATCGCCTCAAAATACAAACACAAGTTATTAAGAAATAAAAAGAAGAACTTGAAGAAAGCTGGATATATGTAGGAAGCAGAGACATTTATACACCTCACAATACTTCTAATTTTACTGCATATATTAGTGTACTGGATCGCAGGGCCTTGGGGGTGCAGTTTGAAAAAAAATATATACTCTCTACTTATATTTAAACTGAAGTTACCTTTTGTATATATCTATATACATATTATATGTACAGTATATATATTTGTATTTCACTTGCTTTGGTAACATAAACATATGTTTCCCACACCAATAAAACCTTTTGAATTGAGCTGAATTTTAAAAAGTGAGACCAATCTGCCTGTACATTAAAATGAACATAATAGTAAGGTTATATTTACAAACTTAAAGCTCCTTTAAGGAGTTTTCTGATGTTTCCTAAGTAGATTGAAATCAATACTGATGTCTTTTTGTGGAATACAAAAGCAAAAAAAACCCATCAGGGACAAGATTGACAGCTTTATATTGTCATTTCTAATGCCTGAAACTAGTGCAAGGGGGTAGGTATCAGCCGAGCAGCTGGAGAGAAAGCCCTATAAATAGAATTCTGTGTAAAATATTCACAATAACAATGTGACTGTGAAAAGGTATGTCAAGAGCAGAGATTTTTTTCATCATAAGAACTGATGAGAAAAGACTGCTTTGTCCACAGGGGAACCAGTCTTGACCAAAGTTCCTCCAAGAAGCTTGGTATGATAAGTATAAAATAAGAAGAAGAAAGAGGGAACATATTGCACAAATGTCTAAAAGTCAACATTTTTTTTTCATGAGATTCCTGAATAGTATTTTGGTAATTTATTTTGGTAATGTTTTTTGGGGGTTTTAGATTGTAATGTTGATAGGAAAAGATATTCTTTGCAGTTCTCTTTCCAAAACTGCTCTCCAAAAGATATGGCAGATTATTGACAACATTCAAATACCAACCATATGAACAAGAAGAAATACACTGTAAGAAAAGTGGTCATTTTATGAATAAAATAGCACATTTGTAACAGACAATGCTTAGCAAAGTCCTCATCTTAACCATTCTTTAACGTCAGGTTGAATTTCAATCAGTATATCCGTTTTAGGCTGCATGATTTGAATGCCATTATTTTACATTTAAAAATAGCTTTAAAGTCCGTTCTTACAATGTGAAGCAATCCTTGGCAGTGTCTTGATATGGGAATCAAACTGGTCTGGCCTGCAGTCAACAACTTACTAATCTTGCGAGCACATTTGTAATCTTATTCGATTCTGGTTCATCTCTAGGTTTGACTGCTGCGCTGGCTTTCTTTATGCAGTAGAAGAGTCGGATGACTTGTATCTGTATGCTAAACTCATCTAAGGTAGCTCCAACGTGAAGTACTAAGGTGAAAACTGTATTCTTTTTGACCTTAAGGATATATCACTTTTGATTTGTCACAAAATGTTAACCAGGTTTGATTTGTCACCAAGTACCGATTGGTTTTTACATGTCACAAAGTTCATATTACTTTTGATTTGTCAGAGGCATTGAACGAAATTTGTCAATCCAAAGGTGAAAGCAGGAAAACCCTGCAGGGACAGAGTAGTGTGCAATTGACAAAATGACTGTTATGGCGCTGCTGGCCATGCGGTCTCCTTGTGTGCACCCAATACATAGGAATTATGCCTAAAGCAGGTGACCCGGGTTCAATTCCCGGCTGTAGTTCCTATCACTCTCTACCCTTTACTGCTCCGTCCACCATCCTGCCCTCTCTGAACCGAGGCAATAAAAGCCCAAAAATCATTATTTGACAATACGAAGGACTGTTAACTTCCGACCATAATGATGTAGTGTTTGAAGTGTTGACAATAATGCTATCATAAAGTTTAGTAGTGTATGTCTTCTATCACATTGTTCTACTGTATTTTGTGATTTGGTGCAATGAATCAGCATCAACCTGCAGAGTGAATCATACTTGGGAAGGTAAACCTATGATAGGTTTTGAGAGGTGGGCTTTCCTCATGAGAATTTGTGTCAAACTGGTGGGATGCTTTACTATTTCAGGAGTATTTCCTGTCTCAGTTTGTGTGCATCATGATTGGTTTCCCTAAGTCAACAGAGGTTTTCTGAGATGGGATCTAAAAACTGCAGGAGGGTCGACTCTTCATCAAACAGACACTTTCACCAACAAACCGCTTGTTTATCAGAGAGGCCCACAGACGATTATTTGAGACAAAAAGTTGAACTTCGGATCAGATGTGCTTCTTTACTTTCTGGAAGTCAGATCATTCTCTCTCTTTTTATGTGTTGAAATTAGGACAGCTTTTAGTGTCTATGAACAAAATCACAGGATTTGTGTCAGAAGAATTTTGAACTGACCACATTTATTTATAGACTATGTCAAATTTTTGTTTCCTTGTTATTTATTGATTTTGAGTGTTTTAGCTTTTGATATCATACATTGACTGTAACTCGCTTTTTCTTTTAGTGTTTATATTTTATTGTTAAATTTTGCCTTTTGTCACTCACTACATAATCTTCATATTTTATCCTTGTTTCTTCTCTTTTTGCGGTGTTGATTTTATGGGCATCTTCAGTTTCATAGCCCACAGCTTATGTGTTCGAACCTCTCTCGCCTTTATTGTCTTTTTCTTTGCCTAGTTATGACTATACTTAACAATTAACCTTACTTCATCCTGCACACTTATGCTACATTCCAGTTACCTCAGAAGTTGGATGTTGGAGCTGGGAATGACGTTACACCCGAGTTGACGGCGTTCCAGTAAACAAGTCTGAAAACCAAGATGGACGCTTACTGTGTTCGCCATTGTTGGTACAATTGGTTGTTGTTAGTAGTTGTTAGCTATACCAGTTGTAAATAACGCATAAGACAATATTTTTCTCTTGCAAACACCATAGCACCATGTTCACAGTTAGATGTTGGGCAGTACAACATATACCACTTATTTAATTTCACAAAAACAAAACAAAGTGCTAATAAATAATACATTATGGGAGCTTTCACTGTTACTCTTTACTGTTCATGCACTGCGCTGCCATCTTGGATTATGATGTTGTCGTCAAGCCAGGGTTGGTGAGGATCGTCCAACTTTCTGAGTCGTAAAGCCGACTTCAGGGGGGCGCTCCAGATAAATTTCCGACTAAGAGCTCGGAAATCCCAAAACACCATTGAGGGTCTTCTTCATTCCAAAAGGTTGATTTTCTTTTAACATTTGTTTAAGTTTGAGCTTTCAAAGTTTTGTCAAAAATGTAAATCCTGCTGCCATCAGACAGAGGTTTTTTTTAGACAGACTGTTTGTTCAGCAGTAAAGGCAGCCCTTCAGAGGTCAATAGGCCATTATTGTGTTTGTCTCTTCTGGTCAGTGGTTCATTAGCAGATAGCCATCAGAGAAGAGAGACAGCAGCTTTGTCAAGTAATCCAAAAGACCTTCCCGTAATCAAGACGTCACAGGTTTAGGGCGCATTCATCATCATCTCTGTTCAGCAGTGACAGACAGTACCTGAAGGCTATATGTATTTAAAAGTACTAGAATACCAGAGACTGACTTTGGTGGGTGTGAAAAACTGCTCATCTCATATTTAACTTAACCTGAAACAGCATATGCATTAATGTGCATAAAACAGAGAAAAGACAAAGGAATGGCAGACTGCTGGTGAGTTAGCTGTAACAGCCCTCTTAGAGATGATTCAGCACTTCTAAAACTGACTGTCTTAAGATTTATTGTGAATCCAAAAACTCTTTGTTAATCAAATCTGTTGAACATTCACACTTCTGAGCGTTCTTTAATCTTAACATTCAGTTCTGTCACTTACAATCCACCAGAAGTAGTATACGTCAAAATAAAAGTGTTTTTTCAAAATAAATTGAATAAAGCAAGCTGAATGCAAATAGAAATTAAAGAAAATTAAAATTAAAACATGACAAAAAATGTTTTAATGAGGTGATATCCTCTTCTGAGACTTTTCGGTCTCAAAGCCAGTGATGTGGGTAAATCACACATTTGAATACATTCAGAAGTAACATGTAAGGTAATTGTGTTTATCAGTTACACCTAAGTTTATGAGGATAAATACTGCTCCATCCTCATCTTGGTCAACCAAAACCACGAGGTGAAAATCTGATATGTTTATGTGATACATGATATATTACCCAATCTATATCCTTTAAACTTTTGGTCATGTATATTTTTTGTGAAGTCGTGCTCATGCAGGAAAGCTTAAACATTATTTTCACATCTCTTGGTTGTGTTAGTTGCGAGTCATACAACCCTTTATAATCTGACTCTCACCATTCCCTCTGTCACTAGTCCTTGATGCTAATCAGCCACAAATTACCTATAGTACAAAACGCACTAACAGAGCATCATTTTGATAGCTCTGTGCTGTTTGTTAGGAAAATTTCGTCATCTTTTCTTCATCTGATAAGGTTTTATTTACAACCTGGTTTTCAAGCAGTGCAGGAGTGCTGTTCAACCACCAGCTTAAAGTTGGCGTGATATTCCTGAAGCAAGTGCATAAGTTTTAGTTCGACTGAGTTGTGTACATGCAAGAAAAAAAAAATCAGTCCCCGACCACCTTATCCAGGTACGTTAGTTTGACTATGAGAAGTGTGATTTCAGTCGGATTAATATGTTTACGTGCACTATTCAGTCGGGGGTGGGGGGATTATACTGAAAAGCCCTTCCTGTCTATTTCAAAGGGATAAGTGGCTGCAAAGACTTGGTTCTTAATGACTTATCAGTGCTTTCACAATTTCTTGTTTTTTTTTTTTTGCATACCAACTAAATAAAAA